GAGACCTAAGACAAGACCGTGCTGGGACATGTGACGCAGACGCGGGAGAGCAGGGTGACCTAAGCGGTGGTGCCAGAGAAGGGAGGGGTGAGTGAGGGACCGACACGAGCAAGCTGCAGCGACCTGGGAGGACGCACCAACCGGGGGGGAAGCGGTGTGTAGGGTAAACAGACCGGACACCGGGTCCCGGGGGAACGTCGCAAGGGGGAACCTGAGACAGCCTCAGAACAGACAGCGAACCGCTCGTGCCCGGGGAACGTGGTGGTGACGCCGAGGTCCTGGAGACAGCCGACACCAACCAGGTTCCTGGAGAACGAGGGAACGTGGAGGCCAGTAAGGGAGCCCGAGGGAACTGCCGGACAAGGAAGGGACGTAGAACTGCGCGCGACGACCGGACCCGCAGAGGGGTCAGCGAGAGAGACAACAGCAGGTGCAGCAAGCGGCGTGAGCGTGGAACGGTCGCGGAAGAAGCAGGCAGAAGCACCAGAGTCGAGAGTGAAGGACAGCGACGCAGTGGCGGAGGCTGGGGACGGAGCCGGTGCAGCGACTAGACTAGGCAACCTAGGCAGTCCTACGCCTGTCGCAGCAGGGGAAGCTAAGCTACACAAGGGTGAAACACCTAAACTAGAGTACACAGGGTAGTAAGATCCAGCAACACTAGAAGCGTCAGCATACAAAGCATGCAAAGCAGCACCTATCTGATCCATGTCTAACTCAAAGATCGGCACGCCCTGGCGGAGTAGGCTGTGCCAGTCAGGGAGGTCCGGGGCCGGGCCAAAGCGACGACGAAAAAGATCGTCGAGGCGGCGGAAACAGTGGGCGGTCGGGTGCGGGCGGCGGCACAGAGTGCCGCGGAGAGGCCCGGTCTGAAGCTGGTACTGGCAGGTCACAGCACTGGAGCCGCTGGTAGACGCCAAGCTGCGCGGGCCGCCACCACGGCCACCGCCTCCGGAGGTGCCGGGCCAACCAGGCGGGAGACGAGCCCACGGCTGCGGCGGGTGCTGCTGGGACGGCGGCTGCGGCTGGGGCTGGTCCTGCTGCTGCTGGGGCTGCTGCTCCTGCCCACCGGTGGTAGTCCCCTCAGGCGGACTACCGTCACCACCACCACGACCACTACCACCTGCGTCACCACCCCTACCTCCCTGGCGGCCACGGCCACCGCGACGCGAGCGCTGCTGCGGATGGACAGCAGCAGCCGTCTCGGTAAGAGGGGTCGCCGTGGCGACCGCAGCCGAAACGTCAGTGAACGTGCACTGGGATGGGGCACAGCCGTGAAAGATAGAGACTGCCGGCGCACCGCTCGACTGAGCGATAGTGCGCTGGCGAGTCTCGATCTCAGTGAGGGTGTCGACAAAGGCGATCAGGGTGAGGTCACCCGGGTGCTGGCTAAGAAAGTGGTCGCGAGCACTAGCGAGGCGGTCTGGCAGGCGCATAGCGATAAAATAGAGCGTCATGCAGAAAGGAGGGGGGAGCGCAGTGAGCTGGGCAGCAGTGCTGGCAGTGCGATAGCGAGTCTCTAGGGCACGCAAATGAGTGGCAAAGTCTGCGACAGTAGGGAAGGCAGCCAGGTCTGGGAAAAGCATCGGAAAGAGCAAGCGGCCAGCAGAAGCGGAGGCAGGGGTGGAATAGCGAGCAATAACGGCGTCTAAATAAGCTTTGGCCGTTTCAACAGTAGCAAAACGCGAGCGCTCAGACACAGGGAGGGCGTGACTAATAGCAACCTGAGCTACTGCATCGCGTGAGTCCCAGACCGCACAGGCCAGCGCAGCAGTAGAGAAAGCCTCACGGTCATCAGAGGAGGGGTCAGCAGGGAGGGGAGTAGGTGCAGGGGGACGGGGGAGCAAGCCATCAGCATGGACAACCAGAGAGTGGCCATCCTGGCGCTGACCTGTAAGCTGGCGGCGGAGATCGGAGAGCCAGGCGGCGAAGTCAACCGCGTGGCCCTCAGCGTCCAGGCGGAGCACAAAGTCAGCCATCGTGCAGGGTCAGCGGCACAGCTCCTCAGCGACACAGCGGCACAGCAGCACAGCTCCTCAGCGGCACAGGAGCACAGCGGCGCGGGGACACGGCGGCAGCACTCTCCAGTAGGGCAGCAGCTAGGCGTCCCAGCGCAGGCGAGCAGAAGACACAGGGCCCGAGAGGACACGGCAGGCCGAGCAGGGGAGGCGGGCAGGTGCTCTGGGGCCGGGCTGGTGCTGGGAGGGGCCAGGCTGGTGCTGCTGGGGCCGGTCGGGCACGAGGAGGGGCCGGGCAGCGCTGAGGAGAGGCCGGGCGGCGCTAGGAAGGGGCCGGGCGGCACTAGGAGGAGGCCGAGCGGCACTAGGAGGCCAGGCAGGCGAGCGCTAACAGCAGGCGCGACAGGGGCCAGCGGGCGCGACGAGGCCTAAGGGGCGCGACGGGGCCCAGCGGGCACGACGGGGCCCAGGGGGGGCGCGACGGGGCCGAGGAGGCGCGACGGGGACCAGCGGGCACGACGGGGCCCAGGGGGGCCGCGACGGGGCCTAACGGGCGCGACGGGGCCCAGGGGGGGCGCGACGGGGCCTAGCAGGCGCGACGGGGCCTAGGAAGCGCGAAGGGGCCCAGCGGGTGCGACGGGGCCTAGGAGGCGCGACAGGGCCCAGCGGGCGCGACGGTGCCCAGAGGGGGCGCGACGGGGCCTAGGAGGCGTGACGGGGCCCAGCGGGCACGACAGGGCCTAGGAGGGGCGCGACGGGGCCGAACGGGCGCGACGGGGCCCAGAGGGGGGGGGACGCGACGGGGCTTAGGAGGCGCGACGATGCCTAGGAGGCACGACGGGGCTCAGCGGGCTCGACGGGGCCCATGGGGGGCGCGACGGGGCCTAGGAGGCGCAACGGGGCCCAGCGGGGGCGCGTTAGGGCCTAGGGGTCGCGACGGGGCCCAGGAGGCGCGACGGGCGGAAGCGGTAGGCGGGGGGATCCTAACCTAAGCGTGATACCATGTTAACGTAGAAACGAATGATTACTAGAGGTGGAAACCTAGAACAAATACTAGTTGGTTGTACTCACTAGAAGCATACCTCAGTCTAGCCTATAACTTCTACATAGATAATATGTATAAGTTGACACATATAACTCTGAAGGGTTCAGCATTCAGAAAATGGCAAGTCTGAAAAATCAGGATCGACCAAAAAATTGGTATGAAATTTCAGACTGTTGGGCTGAGAAATAGCCCTTAGGATCCTTTCAGAGACTAAGTCCCACTTGTACAAGATGCTTGAGTAGTGCAGCCGAAGTGTTGAGTAGTTGAACCCTTGCACTAGTACGTGAGAGCAAGTGATTGACTAAAAGAAACAATAATACAGTAATATATAGGAAATAGGAAATAGAGCAGTTGTAGAATACAGTTGAAGAAACAGTTATCGAGTCGCACAGCGACTCGATCAATGGTTCGGTTACCACCCTTGCAATCGTAATGGTCAGTCGCAACCTCCGGTTGCGATCCTTCGAGTCCCTTCGTCCTTTCGTGTTCTTTCGTCCAACCTCTTCGTGTAACCTCCGTTGACGCGCGTACTCGATACGAGATTTCTTCGAGTGTAGTGTTACACTTCAGAAACGCTAAGTGTTCGAGGTATTTCCAATACAGACAATCAGACTAAAATAATCTGATAAAATCAGCCCTGCTCGGATGTTGGGCGGTTGGTCGGACATCAAGTGTACTTTGTTAGTTTACATATTTTCTCAAAACCACACATGAGCGAGCTGTCGACAGTCGCAACAATCTTTGGAGGCAGACCCTTATACTACCTCCTTTTTTGTTTTTGTTTTTTTAAGCAACACCTATACATAACGGTTGTGGTCATTGACAACGCAAATTTATAGCTTGCCTTGTCATAAAATGACGGTATTACTATACAATTGAAAGCTCTTTCGATGAAACCCCAAGACATAAATCTTTACATGGATTTAGATTTTGTGAAGCGTATCAAACTGGCTTATGCCATTAAAACATAATAATATGCTACATCAGTACACGATCCTTGTGAATGGGTGGTTGAGGCTCACTTGTGCAGATTATCACGTGTGCTCCGCGAACGCCCACAGCTTGCAATTCGCTTTAGCCATGAGCCATTCACGATAGAGAACTTTAGCACGTGGCTAGATTTTTTTATGAGCGTGGCAGTGGTAACCCTCCAGCATTGCAAAGGGTATCACGTGGTTCTTTCAAGAGCCAGCGCGCCCGATTGGCACGCGGCGGCGACCACACTTGTCAGGGCAGGCCAGTCGGGCAGAGCTCCACCAATGAGGAACCCGTGTCTGTAAAAATCTCCACGATGCCTTTCAACTAAAAAATGCACAGGGCTTGGTTTGGAAGGTGCGACCGACCACCATTGTTGAATTCAAACCCCGAGATTCTCAACTGGTGTTTAGCTGTAACAAGAAGCATCATGGAACAGAATGCATGTGTGGAAATTGGCTTCTGGAAGCAAGTTCACACGAAAGGGCCTGAATGAGGACCTGTTTGGGTTCAGGAGGCGTCAAGGCTATTCTGCGACATGACTCCACACTCTACCCTCTAATTTGCTTCTGGAATGAGCCAGCACTCTTGAGTTTTATTCACGATGGGGGAGGGTGGTTGTCCACAAAAGCTGACACCTGCTCGCGCAACAACGCCCACACCAAACCGAGTCCCTCGTTCCGCACCTGCCGGACCCGAACCGGAACTCCCACCCAACCAGAGCAAAGCAAAGGTGGCACGGGGCCAAGTTACACCTTTCCTCACCTTGCCTTGCCTCGGCCTTATCCAACCAGGCAAAGGCAAACCGGGCCACAAGCGAATCTGATCCGAGCTTCCGTGTTTCCCCACGCACACATGATCCCCTCCCCACCACCAGCCAACCTTCAACCTGGTTGGCCTCCCTCCACTCATCCTAGCTCCTCCTGGTCAGGCCATGTGATCCACGGGACGGGATGACGGGAGTCACGGGACAAGTGATCCTTTTCGGCCTCAGATGGCGTCCACAGAAAACTCCTAAACGCGTAACCTAGCTGCTTTTCTTTCAGCGCGTTCCGCTCCGCACCGCAGTACTCTACTCTATGTACCCTATGCAACCGTCTTTCCAAATGCATTCACCCGCACCACACCTGCCCAACGCTGACAATCCACACGTGCGTGTCGTTCCTCCCACGTTTCTCCTAAAAAAATCGCCTGACATTTCTCCAATGCCCCATCACCATCTAGCCGGTAGCACCCTCGGCGCCGACAGCCGTACCTCTTTCTAGTGCCCCCTTCGCTCGATGCCTCTCATCGCGACCGCATTCCTCGTCCACTCTCCATCCCTACTCGTCCGATACTGCCGTCCACCATGGTCAGTCTATTCCGCGCCTCCTCGGTTCCTGCCCCGTCCCCTGCTACCGCCACCACGCCCGCCTCTAGTAGCGACCGCGCGCAATGCTGCTTAGCTGCTGCCGCCGCAACTTCCGCCGCATATCGCGGCCCAAGCTGCCTGGCCTGCGCTGCGCAATGCCATGACACGCGATTTTCCGTCGAACGCTGGGGCGGAAGCGGCGGCGGCGGTGGCGGAGGTAACGGCGCGGGCGTGGGGGAAGCGGAAAGCCGCGAGTGTGGGGGAGCACCAGCAGCAGCAGCAGCAGCAGGAGGAAGAGGACTTGGCGGTAATGCGACAACTACCACTACCGCCACCATCACCTCTACCGTGCTCCTCGTGCCTACCGCCGGCGGCGCCGTTGGCGGAAGTGCTGATGGCGGCGGTGGCGCTGCGGGGCTCGTCCCCGCGGCACCTTCGCGGCAGTTCCATTCGTCCTGGTTCTCGGATCGCACCGACGGTAGTCTCGGCTACGCGGCTAACGCGAATCACGCTGCCGTCAACTCCGCCTTTTCCCGCGTCAAAACGCCTCTCCTGCCGTCCGCGCTCGGCGTCCTGCGCTCCCTGCGCGGCGGAACGTCCTCCGCTTGCCGAGCGGGGGGGAGCAACAGGGGGAACAAGGAGGGGAGTAATAGGGGAAATAAGGAGGGGAGTAATAGGGGAAATAAGGAGGGGAGTAATAGGGGAAACAAGGAGGGCAGTTTTTGGGGAAACCGGGAGGAGGGTAGCAACAGAGGGAGTAGGGAATGGAGCAATAGGGGCGGCAAGGACGGCAGTAACAGAGGAACCTCGGGAACAGTAGTACCTGTCCTAGTCGAGCCCGGTTTCCCGCCGGAATCACTGGCGGCGAGTGCGGGGAGATTCGATGAAACAGCGGGCGCGCGGATGTCGACGGATCTGCACGACAGTACACGTGGCGGCGGCGGGGGTGGGGAGGAAGGGGGAGAAATGGAAGGAGAAGTGGGGAAAGGACCCAGAGGAGGAGGAGGGGCATTAGGAGAATGCGAGGGAATGCGAGTCGGCGAGGAGACGGAGAGGGGAACGGAGGCGGGGATGAGAACGGGGATGGAGGAGAGGGAGAGGGGGGAGAGGTGTCCGTTGGAGGCGGCATGTGCGGCGGTGCTGCAGCAGCTGGGACGCGATGGCGTCGTTGTGGATCCACCTCTCGCGCACGCGCTCTCGCTGCACTTCCACGCCCTCCCGCTCGCGTATGCTGCTCTTCTCTCTCCATCCCTTGGTTCTAACTCGTTAGTAGCGCTCGTTGTTCACTTCATCCCTGCCTGATGAGTTCCTCCTTCCCTTCCCGCTTCCTCCTACCCCCTTCTCTTTTCCGCGTCTCTTTCCCCCCTTTCCGCGCTCGCTCTTCCCCCTCCGCCAGGTATTTCGACAGCCTCGTCTCCCCGCGCGCGGCGCTAGCGCACCTCCGTTTGCTGCACCACGCCGCCTCTCTTCCGTCCGGCGCGCCCGCGGTCGACATTTCGCTCCGCCATTGCGCATGTGACTCCGCCAGCGCCGCCGGCCTGCACCATCCCGCGGAGGTTGCGCGCTGCTGCGCGCCGAGTCCCCCTGCCCTCAGCCTTGCTGGTGGCGCAGGCGCAGGAGATCCCCCCGCGGCTGCGATGGCGACGGGAAACGCTTCCGCGTATGGCGCGCCTGGAGCGGAGGCCCTCGATTGCCGAGAGCGCTTTTCCGCTGCCCCCTCCGCCATGCTTGTAGGAGCCGCTGAGCCTCTCAGCGCGGCCGCGCTCCCTGCGCCTGTGGCGGCAAGAATCCCGGCTGCAACAATCGGTGGTGATGCAGCAGACGCAGGAGCGGCAGCGGTGCTGTCGCCGACGACGGCAGTGGTGTCGACAACGGCAGCAGCAGCAGCGGGGGCAGCGGGAGGAGCGGCAGCGAGCCTGTTACGCGCGCACGTGGCGGGGCACATGCCAGTGCGCTCGCTGCTGCTGGACGACGCGGGCAGCGACTCGTCCCTCACCTCCGCCGCCACCACCGCGTCTGGCGCCGCCCTCTCCACGTGCTCCGGCCCAGGGGGGGCAGGGAGCGGCGCAGGGAGGGGGGGTGTTGGGTATTGGAGGAGTGCGGAAGATGCCCTGGTGGGGGGCACGGGCGCCATGAGCCTCTTGGGCGTTGGTGGCGTGCCGCTGTCGCAATATAGCCAGAACCAGCAGCAGCAGCAGCAGCAGCAGCGGCATGCTTGTGTGGAGGTGACCTTCGCGTGTAACGTCCACCTGTGCCGGCATCTGCTGCTGGCAGCCCTCTCCCAGGCCGGCATGCGGCCAGCCTCGCTTGTCCTCTTCCACCCTGCCGTGCCACCTCCTCCCTCCCTCCTCCCACCCCCGTCCTGCGCGCCTGCTGTTCCGCCAGTGCAGTTTGCGCCATCCCCTGCATCTGCCCTACCTCTCTCCTCCGGGGCCCCAGTCTCCCCGCCGCCCTGTGATGGCTTCACACTGGGATGGGCGCTGCTGCAGCTGCCGTGGGGCGAACAGGTGGATGAGAGGCGGATAAGAGACACACTTAGCAAAGTGGGAGCTGCTGCCACCGCCACCACTGTTGTTGCTGGTGCTGCTGGTACTGCAGTAGCAGGAAACGGAGCAGCAGCAACTGTTTGTGGTGCAGCAGCAGGGGCGGGAAGTTCTGGAGGGGATGTGCGCATGGGGGACGCCGCTGCTGCAGGGAAAGGGGGACGGGGGCAATGGGGAGCGGGGAGGGGGAGGGAAGCGCAAGGGCCGGAGGGCAGGAGTAACCACAGGAAGTGGGGGCGTGGGAGAAGAGGGAGGGGGGAGGGAGGCGGGGGGATTCCTGGTGGGGGTGCTACTGGTGGAGGTGGGGGCTCAGCTGGGGCTACTTCCGCTGTGCCTGGCTCCCTGTCTCTTCTGTGGAAACGAGCTGAAGTGGGGGGCAATGGGGATAGCACCCATGGGGGCGGGAAGGGGAGGAAAGCGGGGAGGGAGGTGAGGCAGAAGCGGGAGCGCGAGAGGGACGAGAGGGAGCGGGAGGAGAGGGAGAGAGAGAAGGAGAAGAGGGGGTTCCGGTACTCTGGGAGGCGGGCGGCAGGGGCCATGATCGACACGCTGCTGCTGGGACTGTCCAGCAGAAAGGCACCCCATGGACCAGCAATGGCCGCTGCATCGGTGTCAGCTTCGGACTCAGCGTCAGCGTCGGCATCGGCATCAGCGTCGGCATCAGCGTCTGTGTCAGCATCAGGATCAGCGTCAGCTTCTGGGGCTGTTGCTGCTGTGTCGCTTTCGCCGCTCTCCCTGTCGTCCCCGGCTACTCCTGAGCCTCATGCTGTAGCCGCTGCTGCTCCTGCTCCCGCTCTCGCTTCTGCTGCTGGTGCTGCTGGTGCTGCTGGTGGTGCTGGTGGTGCTGCTGGTGCTGCTGCGTCTGCAAATCCTTTTGTAGCCTCACGGAATGGAGGAGGTATAAACGACGATGGTGATGTGGCTATGCCAAGTGCGGATGCAGCAGCGGCAGCCAGGGCAGCAGCAGCAGCCTGGCAAGGCATGGACATAGAGGCAAGGGTAGACGACAGTGATGCGATAGATTGCGTTGGAGATGGGTTGAGAGGAGGAGAAGGAGGAGTTGCCATCGGTGGTAGTGGTGGTGAGGTGAGCAACAGCAGTGGGAGTGGCAGCGGCAGTGGGCGGGGAGGTGTGTTGTTCTATGTGAGGAGCAGGGGACGTGAGGCGGACAGCAGCAACCGGGCCAGTAAGAAGATGGCAGTGACTCCTCCACATGCACATGCAGATGCGCATGCACATGCACTAGACGAAAACCATTCACAGAGGCAAGCATCAGTGCAAGCACCGCCACACGCAGAAGCGAGCAAAGAAGGGCAAGCACAGGCGGGAAGGCTCCCAGAGGGACTCGTGCAGGGGCAGGGGCAGGGAGGTGGTAAAGTCGAGGGCGCGGATGCAGGGGAAGCGAGGACGCCTGGCAGGGTGATGGTGGGCATTGTGAAGCCGGTCAGTGGGCTTGGTGCTGGGAGCAGGTTCGGCTCTGCTGGCAGGTATGGCGCTCCGCGGATCGTCATCGCAGAGCACACCGGGGACACCGGTACTGGGGTGGGGGCACCAGCCGCTACAGGATCAGCAGCAGGGTCAGCAGCACCAGCAGCTGGAGCAGCAGCAGGAGCAGGAGGAGCAGCAGCAGGGGGTGAGCAGGGGGGCGGGTTGCTGCAGCTGCTGCTATCGGAGCAGGGAGCGATGAAGGAGAAGCTGGGCAAGTTCATGCTGGACCCCATCCGCCTCGAGATTGGCCACGTGCTCGCCGTGGGCGCCTCTGGAGAGGTGCGGCGCGGGCGGTACCAAGGGCGGGAGGTCGCAGTGAAGGTGCTAAAAGCGGAGCGGCATGAGGCGCACACGGCTAGAGCGGAGTTCAGGCGCGAGGTGGTCACCCTGGTGTCGTGCGGGGAGTGCCCGTACCTGCTCAAGTTCTACGGGGTGTGTGTGGACATGCGGCAGCGGATGTGCATCGTGACGAAGCTCATGGGGGGGGGGAACCTGCATGACATGCTGAGGAGGAGGCATGGCGTGGGGCTACCGCTGCGGCAGCTGGTGAAGATGGCCATGGAGGTGGCACTCGGCATGCGCTTCCTGCACCGACATGGCATCATACACAGGTGGGTGCTGCTGGGTGGTAGGTGGGTTCTAGTGGATGTTTTGGCGAGGTCCGTGTTTGCATTTGTGCGTGCATACGTGGGTGGCTCTGAGGGCTCTGGGCTGCCGCTGCCGCTGCAGCAGCTCATGAAGGTGGCCATGGAGGTGGCGCTGGGCATGCGCTTCCTGCACTGCCACGGGATCATTCACAGGTGGGTGTGGTCATGGCTCCGCTCCCCGTGCACACTTGTACATATGTGTGTGTGTGTGTGGTTGGCTGGGTGCTGTGTATGGGGGGTGGGTGGGTGCGCTCGTGTTTTCTTGTAGGTGGGCACATGGGATAAAGGGCTCGGTTGCACGTGCTCCTGTCTCTCCGTTCCCAATCCAACACCTTTTGCATTCCCCCCTGTGCTCCTGTCCCTCCTGTCCCTCCTTTTAACTCCTTTTATATCCACCCTTTCCCCCCTTTCCCCCACCCCCTCCCCCACCCTCCAGGGACCTCAAGCCAGCCAACGTGCTGCTAGACGAGCACGGGCGGGCAGTGGTGGGCGACTTTGGTGTGGCGCGTCTCATCCGCGAGCGAGCCGAGATGACCAAAGAAGTCGGCACGTACCGCTGGATGGCCCCCGAGGCCTTCGGCACGACTGGCCAGTGGACCGTGACTCAACGCAGCGACGTCTACAGCTTCGGGATTGTCCTCTGGGAGCTGCTCACCGCGCGGTTACCCTACGAGGACTACTCGCCGCTGCAGGCCGCGGTGGCTGTAGCACTGAATGGCTTAAGGCCGCCGCTGCCGCAGGGGTGCCATGCGGGGGTGAGGAGGCTGATTGAGCGGTGCTGGGCGAGAGACCCTGGGGATAGGCCGGAGTTTGATGAGATTGTGAGGGTGCTGGGAGGCATGGAGGGCGGGGGAGAGGGCGTGGAGTGGGAGGGGATGGGTGTGGGGGTGGAGGAGGGCGCGGTGGGTGAGGAGGGAGGGAGGGGGGTGGGGGGAGTGGGGGAGGGGGGACGGAAGGGAGGGGGAACGGGAGAGGAAGTGAGGGAGGGAGGAGGAGGAGGGGGCATGGTGGCGAGTGGTAGAATCGTTGGCGTTTCCCAGTACAGGGATGGATACCGAGACGGTTACAGCGATAAAAACACACACGGTGCTCCTGCTGGTGGTGGTGGTTGTGGTGGGCGTGTGGACGAATGCACGGAGGAAGAGGGAAGGGAGGAGGAGAGTGTGGGTGTGCATGGCGAGGGCGAGGAGGAGGAGGAGGAGGCGATGGACTTGGTGGAGCACCTGTTCCCAGACCTGCACGTCACGGAGGGTGAGGGGGCGGGGGAGAGACGGGGCGAGGGGGAACCAGAGGGAGGAGGAGCAGGAGGGGGAGGAGGGGGAAGAGGAGTAGGAGGGGAAGTGGCAGCTCCCGTGGGAAGAGGAGGCCGAGGTGTGAGTGGCACTGGTTTTACAGGTTGCAGTCGGGTGAATCATCGCTGAGCGACGTGTCAAAAAGCCAGATGGCTGAAATGGCGTGTGCGAGTGGAGTAATATCTCTGATTTTTTTGCCAGAGTTGGAGTGACTGCCTTAGATGGGCCAGTCCGCTGAGCTTTCACCTGTAGTGGTGACAGCAGCAGCGGCGGCGGCGGCACCTGCAGCATAACAGCAGTAGCAGCAGCATCAAGAACAGCCGCAGCAGCGTCAAGAACAGCCGCAGCAGCAGCAGCAGCAGCAGCAACACCAAGAGCAGCAGCAGCGGAGACCATGATTGAGACGGCACATTGTTCTCAGGCCCAGGCACACTGCTGCAGCATTGTTTCTTGAAACGTTTCTGCCAATGCTGTCGCCAAGGCTGCTGCTGAGAGTGCCCCCCCAGTATTAGCCCCCATAAAGTGGATGAAAGTGGGCATCATGCTAGTATCGACAAGTATACGGTACAACAAGTGAGCGAAGGCCTCGGGTCGGGATGATTCTCCCTCTCTGGTTCGTTTTCTCCTGGTTGCATAAAGTTTGCCCTGTCCTGTCCTGCCCTGTGCTGTGCCACAATTTTTTGTGTTGTGCTGTCATTTTTCTGTCATGCCAAGGCTCATGGCTGGCAGCTTGTTTTGCTTGTTTTTGTTGTCATAATGCTGAGACTCTCTCACTCGCCCAGTCACATTTACGGTGGTGCTGCTGGTCCCACTGCATAACCGAATTACTACGCTGATGCCTTGGTTATGGTAGCCCAAAGCATGCGACATACACCGGTATGTTTATTCTAGATGCTTCTACCAATGCCCTACCCTAGTAATCTACCTTACCCTACCATACCCACCCACCCACCCCTGCTCTCCAATGCATTTCTGCATGCAACCAAGCCGTCACAGTACAGGTGTTTCCACAGGAATACAGACTCCTGTTTAGCATCTAGTAGTGTGCAACTCCACATTACAGCAGCTAACTGCATATATGGAGCACTCATCTATAACGAGTATCGCACGCGAGTTTGCCATGGTATATGTCTTTCCTGCTATGGAGAAAACTACAGTAAATGGTGAGGAGGATACCGTCAGTGATGTGATGTGATTTCACTTCACTTATTACTACTACAGTATTATGGTATTATGGTAGTGGAAGGAATCAAATGCCTCTACTCTCCTTCCCACCCTCACCCTCAACCCCCGGTGCTGCTGATGCTGATGGTGCTGATGGCAACACCTCTGCTGTCGTTGCTGCCTCATTTCCAGCCTCTCCCCCCACTGCTGTGCCTCCTGCTGTTCCCCCTCCTTCCACCTGTCCTGCCCCTGCCCCTGCCCCTGCCCTATTCACCCCTCCTCCTGCTTCCCCCCTTGCTCCAGCTGCTCCTACCCACCCCCTTCCGCGCTCCCCTCCTCCCCCTCCCCCTCCCCCTCCCCCCCCTCCTCCTCCCCACCCTCCTCGTCCTCCTGCATGTCTTGCCACATGTCCTGTCGTTCCTTGCGCCTGCTGCTGCTGCTGCTGCTGCTGCTGCCTGCCCTGAGGGTACCGTGAGCGAGTGGAAACGGTGGCGTGGGTCACCCGCAGCCACAGGTTGCCCAGGCGCTGAGCGGATGCAAGTGAGCAGGGGAGGTTGGGGGAGAGGAGGGGAAGGCAGTCAAGAGCACATGGATGCGGCATTGGAAAAAAACAGATCATTCTTCGACGCCGCCTCAAGAGAGAGTGGAAACAGTGGCGTGGGTCACGTGCAGCCACAGGTTGCCCAGCCGCTGAGGGAGTGCAAGGGGTGGGGAGGTGGGGGAGGGGGGAGGGAGGGAGAGGGGGCGGTTTTGGGGGGAAGAGGAGGAAAGTGAAGTGCACGTGGTGGGGAAGATGCGGACAAGGAGAATATATGTGCGGCGCCTTGTAAATTGTAATGCGTTTAGAGGCGGCTACAGCGAGTGAAACACAATAGCGTGTGTGTTTTGTCTCTCAGCCAGCGGCAAGGGGAAATAGTGCAAGTGGCGGGGGAATGGGGGAAAGTGGAAAAGAGAAGGGCGCGGGGATGGGAAGGTGGCAGGGGGAACGGAGTGGTGGGGACACGAGGGAAGGAGGAAACGGAGGCATGGGCAGAGTGGCATGGTTGAAAAGCGCAATATTTTGCGAGTGTAAGCTTCGACATAGCAACAATAAATGGGCGGACCATTTGAAAGGAAAGTAAGGAATCATGGTCCAGCAGCAAGGTGACCTCGTGAGGTGCCTAAGGAATCACACCCAAGGAATCACACCTCCTAAGGTAGAATGATGAATCATGAATCATGGCTTGACCGTCGAGTGTCCCAGACATAAACCACATCACACCCAAGGAATCATGAATCATGATTTGAGCGTTCCAAGCATGAACCACACCACACCTGGCCGTCGAGGTGCATCTGAGCGGCATCGGCGTCCTCTGGCCGGAAGAACTCCACAAAGCCGTACCCCTTGGGCGTGTTGTTGTCCACGTGCCGGGGCAGCGTCACTGGGGTCAGGGGAGCGGGGGAGTAAGCGGAGAAGAGGCGGGAGGAGAGGAGGGAAGGAGTGTAGGTGGATTGGCAGCGGAGAGGAGAACGAGGAAGAGAGCAGTAGCTGACGGACGGAACGGCACATGTCAAGGAACAGCGCATGTCAAGGAGCAGCGCATGTCAAGGAGCAGCAGGGAGAAGAGGAGCAGTCAGCGGAGGAAATAGCACACTGATAGGGAACCGCTGGTCATGGTTGGTTGGTGCTGGTTGGTGGCTGGCGGCACCATGGGTGCTGTGGCAATATTGACTGAGTGCACCAGATAAGAAGCTGGAAGCCACTGCCGAACAGCGGCCTACAATGCATGCAGCAAGGAGAGGAGCGCTCATTTGAGTCGACTCAAATGCAGCAACGAAGGGCGAATTCGAGGACAGAGCATGCATGTGCCTTCGGGCCTCATAGCTGGAAGCCACTCCTTACTTTTGGAAGCGGACAAATTTTGTTTGTGTTGGGGTGGGGGTGAAAGAGCGGGTTGGAGGGGGGGGATGAGTTGGGTACGTGGAGGTATAGCTAGAGATGGTCCATGGGAATGAGATGGGCAATGGTGGTGGACAATGAAAGTTCTTCTTGAGGCGCCTCCTCAGCATAGTTAGTGATTGTTCATGGGCAGTGGACGTGGGCAGGTGGGCGGTGAGCAAAGCTAGTGGGTGGCACTGACAACGAGAGCAGCAGCAGCAGCAGCATTTGTGGGGGCGACGTGAGAGTACCTCGGCGGACGGCTCCAAAGGAGCTGAGGGCGTCGTGCAGCACATTCTCGTCCACGTCGAAGCCCAGACCTGGCGGGGGGGAGAGAAGGCGGACAAGGCGGGAGGGAGAGGAACGAGGGAACAAGGGAGAGATGGAGAGAGAGGGGGGGAAGAGAGGGGGGGGAGGAGAGGGGGGGGGAAGAGAGGGGGTGGGAAGAGAGGGGGTGGAGAGGGAGCCTTTGAGTCGAGTCAGGAGGTGAGCGCGTCGTTCTCATCTACATAGATCCAGGCCTGGCGGGGAGAGTGAGGGCGGACAGGGAGGGACGGAGAGGGGAGGGGAGGGAGGGAGAGGGGGAGAGGGGGGAGAGAGTGGGGAGAGAGATGGGGGAGCGAGAGGTGGGAGAGAGTGAAGAGAGAGGAGAGAGAAATGTGATAGAGGCGAGAGGAAGGAGAGAGAAATGTGATAGAGGCGAGAGGAAGGAGAGAGAAATGTGATAGAGGCGAGAGGAAGGAGAGAGAAATGTGATAGAGGCGAGAGGAAGGAGAGAGGAGAGGCAGAGAGGCGAGGAGGGGAAAAAAGGTGTTTTGTTGATGCAAGTTGGTTTTGAGAATTGTAAAGAAGAGGTGGGAGAATTGTGCTTGGTTCACAGAGGAGGGTTCGGTTCGGAGAACAAAGCCACACGAGCGAGATGACAACAACAGCAGTAGTAGAGCGATGGAAAGAGGCAGAGGCAGAGGCAAAGGCAAAGGCAAAGGCAAAGGCAGAGGCAGAGGCAGAGGGGGTAAGAGGCGAAGGAAAGAGGCGAAGGGGTAAGTGGGTTAGAGGCGAATGCGTACCTCCCACAAAGAGCCTGCGATCTGACTGAGTGGCGCCACCACCGCCACCGCCACCCCCACCACTGCCACCCCCACCCCCATGACCACCACGAGCACCGGCACCACCAGAAGCAGCACTGTGGAAAGAAGCACCGCTAGGAGCAGGACCGCGAGAAGCATCACCGCTAGTAGCAGCACCGTTAGTCGCAGAGCCGGTAGTGGCAGCACCGTTAGTAGCAGCACCGGTAGTAGCAGCACCGTTAGTAGCAGCAGCGCTAGAAACAGCACTGGTGGGAGCAGCACCGTCAGAAGGATCACTGATAGGAGCAGCATCGACAGAAGGAGCAACGCCAGATTCGGCACTGCTAGAAGCTGCATCGTCAGGGGCAACATCCCCAGTTTCGGTAGCACTAGAAGCGGCAGCACCGTGCGCAGTGTGGTGCATCAGCGCAGCGGAGTGCCCGCGCCAGGGGGAGTGGGAGTGCGCCAACGAGCCATGCTCCGCCTGCACGTGCGCGCGCGGCAGCGCCAGCGCATGCACCAGCGCCTGCGGTTGCGCCTGCTGTTGTGGCTTTGGCTGTGCGTGTGTGTGGGATTGCGACGCTGCTTGTAGCGGCTGCCCTTGTAGCGGCGGCTGTCGACGCCCCCCCCGGAGGGATGCTGTGGAATGGCGGCGGAGAAGGGACGTTCCGAGGCGAGTGAGGCGATGCATGGTGCTATGGCCCGTGCGATGGGATGGGAGGGACGTGGGGGTTGGAAGGTGTAATGGCGGGCGGGTTGAGTTAATTCAACGAGGCGTCGCGTCAGCAATCAGACTGAAGCATCCACTTCCGAGCGCGCTTTCCTTGCGACGTGACCGTGCGACAGTGGGCGACGATGGATCTGATCGCCGAGCGACGGAGGCCAGGCCGAGCGGGCTGATCCGAGGAATCTCAAACCGGGGCGACGGGCGACGGGCGACGGGCGACGGAAAGCGGAGTGGATCGCACGGAACGCTGCAATAGGATCGCGGGGCGAAGGCTGGATCTATGCGCCGATAGATCGCGGACTGGGCTGACCGCATCGAAGGGCTGCAGCAGAAACTACGTGCTGCTGCTGCTGCTCGTGCCTTGAGGTGGGTGCATGAAATACGTCTAGTCGCAATTCGCGTGGCCAGCAACGGCACAACATGGGAGAGAAGGAATGCGTAAATAGTTTCTTCTCTGTGCTACCCCTGATCGAGGGTTCAGGGCAGGGTTTAAGAAGGGCAGGATCCAAATGAGCTCCATGCGCGTAGGACTTGGGTACTGTAAGGAAATGACGTTGGGAAAATCTCGTCATAGACCCCCGAAAAAACGTTTCAGCGGAAAATGCAGCCTCCCTCCCGTAATCTGGGACGGAGGAGGTGAAGTCATGTACAATGTAGTCACTTCGGCTGCGACTACAAATCACCTGCACCCCCACTGCGACTGCCACTTAGCCCCCCTCACACCTCGGGTGTGAATCTAGTCCAGTGATTATTTTTCTGTGCTTTCCCTCGCCTCTGCCGAACCCGTCGCTCCTCATTTTCCCCCCTGCCGCCCCGCCGATTCGTGTCGCGATCGTGATACCTCCGGCGCGGACACCGCCATGTCGCAGGAGGAGCCTCAGGACCCGCCTCAAGGGGCGGCAACGGCAACGGCAACGGCAACGGCAACGGCAACGGCAACGCAGCACGGCGACGACGAGCCATCGCCGTCCGCGGGCGAGCCAAGCGTCTCATCCCCCCCATCCGCGTCGACCGTGGACGCGTCCCTCTTAGCGGAGGAGCTTAGCGCGTCCACCCTAGCCGCGCTCCAGGATTTCCTCTCCGCGCAGGCCGCGCAGCAGCAGCAGCATGCGGCGCTCTGCGCGCAGGCGGCGGAAGCTGGCTCCGCGGAAGGAGGGTCCGTGGGCGCGGATGGCGGAGCTGCGCGGAATGGGGAAGACGCGGGAGGAGCCGGCGGAGGGGATGGGGAGGGGGCAAGCGGGGGACAGGAAGCGGCGGAAGATGCGCTATTTGCGGAGGATTGGGGTTTAAGCCAGTTTTGGTACGACGCGCACACTTCGGCGACTGTAGCGGCGGAAGTGGCGCGGCTGATCGGCGGGGGGGCGGCTTGCGCGCGCGATGATGAGGGGAACGTCGGGGAGGAGGCGGAGAAACCGCGAGAGCAAGCAGATGGGGAGCGCGTTGGGGGGGGCGAGGGCGTGGGAGAGGCGGCGAAGGAGGAGGGTAGCAAGGGGGAAGGGGAAGGGGGCGGGAGATGTTGCTGTGTGGCTTGCCCGACTCTGTTCCGTGAACTCGTTGTGAGTCGCTCTCCACGTGCTGCTGGCGTGCATTGCACAGCCCAGCTCGTTTTAGGTGGGAGGGGTCTGGCTGGGGATGTCTGGGGATTTGACGATAACCCCTATTTATCCTCTCCTTCCCTGCCAGCGGCGCTACCCCCACATGGACGTGAACCTGCTGTGAAGAAGCTTTAACTCTGTCTCCTTCAAGTATCTCTCACCTTCCCGCACCCCCCTCACCAGGTGGGCACGGTCATGCGATCCCACATGGACGTGAGTTCGAGGCATGAAACACAAGCACCCCCTTCACACCCTCGTCCCTTACCTCCTCCCCTCCTCCCCTCCTCCCCTCCTCCCCTCCTCCCCTCCTCCCCTCCTCCCCCTGCCAGCGCCGCTACCCCCACATGGACGTGCATCTGCTGGAGTACGACCCGCGCTTTGCCGCCTTCGCGCACCGCTTCTCCCGCTACGACTACCGCCGGCCGCTGGACGTGCCGAGCTCGCTGCACCACCAGTTCGACGTCGTTGTCGCTGACCCCCCGTACCTGGTACGCCGCTTCCCAATGCCTGGAAACCTGACGCATATCTGATATGGTAAATACAAGCACCCCCCACCCCCCACGCACCCCCCTTTCCCCCTCCACCCCCACTCTCCCACCTCCTCGCTTGACCGGTTTACCCGACGTAAATGCGACACGTGTTTGCCAAGCCTTGTTTCCCCGTCCATGGTTTTCTTTGCGTGTTCTCTAGGCGTCTCTCTTCCTCCCTCCCTCCCTCCCTCCCTCCCTCCCTCCCTCTCTCCCTCCCTCTGTGGCGGCAGAGCGAGGAGTGCCTGGAGAAGACAGCACAGACCATGAACCTGCTGGCCAAGCCCTCCAACTCCAACGACACCCCACCACGTCTCCTCCTCCTCACAGGTCACATACACTCACTAATCCCCCCTTCTTCTCCCCTCTGTTCCTCCTTCCCTCCTTCCCTCCTTCCCTCCTTTCCTCCTTCCCTCCTTTCCTCCTCTCCCCGTCTCCCTTCTGCCTGCCTCCCGCACTGCACGGCTTATCGCAAGGCTTTGCCTGCTACCGTCTCTTCCTCGATTCTTTCGTTGCCCTTCCTCCTTTTTCCCACTCCCACTTTCATCTCAGCTACATCACCGTCCCTGCATCTAGTCTAGTCGCCTCACCTCACCTCCCTGTCGCCCCACGCTCTGTTCACCACACCAGGCGCAGTGCAGGCGGACGCAGCGCGGCGGCTGCTGCAGCTGCGGCCGTGCGTGTTCCGCCCGGAGCACCGCAACAAGCTCGGCAACGACTTCCGCCTCTTCACCTCCTACCCGCCCCCGGATGACACCCTTGGCGGGTGGGAGCCGGAGTCGGAGAGCTAGCTAGCTGCCGTGGTAACTTGGTAATGCTGAGGCTGAATAGAAGAGTAGGTATCCGCGACCAACATGGAAGGTTGACTTGACCGTGCGTGGATGTGAGAGAGTTTGCTATGTGGGATGGTTTCAATGTAGGGTTGCTGGAAACGTTCGGAACTGCAAGATGTTAGTGAATGCAAACGACTAGTACCATGTTTGAGAGTTCGCCAGCTGAGAACTCTCTGGCCATAGAACAAGCGTGAGAGAGCATGTTTGGGCCGAACTACTGAGCGCAAGCTTGGCAATGGCAACCCATACAAGTTGGGAACTTACCGGTAGGTACTTGGAAAGGGAAGGTGCAGCAAAACAAACGTAGGCAAGGCGGGTAGCCCTCCTTTCAGTCAGTACTACAGTGTGCAATGCGACTCAGTAGAGGCTGCGAGAACAAGGCACAGAGCAGCCATAGCAGACATGGCAGCCACTGGTGCGGCAAATAGAGCAGCAACTAGAGCAGCAATGACGAAGCCTCCTCATCTCCGCTCCCACGCTCCCTATTTCTGGTAGTGTCAGCTGCTGGTACTTGCACCGCTGCGAAATGCGGACTCGAGTGTGTGCTGTTGGCCTGAGTGTTGCTGGCCCCTGCTTGCCCTGACCACCCTGCACTACTAGTTCTACTGGTACTGACACTGTTGCCCGCACCACCGTTGCCAAGACCAGCTATTGCCGCAGCAGCAGCAACAGCGGCAGGAGAGGCAGCAGCCACCGCCGCCGCAGCAGCAGCACCCATGCCAGTGTCCCTTAGTTCAGTAGCAGCATTGAAATCCGAATCTAAGTCCAGGTCAACTAGGGGAGGATCGTCCGCCCTCTCTGATGCTGCACTTGCAGGCGACTGCGAAGGGATCGCCCCTCGCTGCTGCTCCCTGCTTGAAAGCACTGGATGCACTCCTGTAAACACTGGTGATGGTGCTGCTGCTGCTGCTGGTGTTCCTGGTGCTGCAGTTGTTCCTGCAGCAGCAGGGCAATCGATCAGAATCTCCTCAATCTCCTCCTCTCGCTCTTGCCGCTTCCACCGCTGCTCCTGCTGCGAATTCCCATGCTGTCGCTGACGATGCTGATGTTGGTGCTGGCGATGCTGCTGCTGCTGCTGCTGCTGCTCGTCCCACCGTCTTCCACCTCTTTCCCTCTCCTCTTCTCCTTCTTCCTCCCAAGTCCCTCCTGCAACATCCTCACTCACTATCTCTTCTACTCTCTCCATCACCTGCTGTGGATCGGAGTCCCTTCTCCTCGCACCCCCTCGCATGCTCTTCCCTGGCCCATTCGGCAGCCGCTGCCTGCTTTGCTGTTGCTGTTGACGCTGCTGCTCTTGCTGCTGCTGTGGATGCGTGTCTTGGTTGTCAAACCGGGCCCCTATTTCCCGCAACTGCACTTCCAACTGCTGCTCGTGCTGTTGGTGCATGGTTGACTGGGAGGCAGCAGATGAGGCACGGCGCAAGAGGCGAGGGGTGAACGTCTGCCAGGGAATGTTGGGAGGGAGGCACAATCCGGAGAGGGGATGTAGAACGCGGGGAGGGAGGAGAAGACGATGCAGCAGCAGCGACCTGGTGGAAGCAGCTATACAAGCGGTGCAGGGTTGAAGGAGCTTGACTGGCGGCAGTGTGGCAGTCAAGCAACGGTGGTTCATTCAAGGAGAGATGCTGGCATGCGAGCATGGCCGCAGGTAGGAGCACAAGCACGAGTGCTCATACGACTACATGGGACAGAAGCAGCACAGCATAGCACGAAATGGCATGGCATGGCATGGCATTGCATGACATGTCATGGAATGCCCAAGTACCAAGCGGCATAAGCATGCAGCCAAGACACTCCCCACTGACCTCTATCTCGCCCTCCTCCCATGTGAAGTCCTCAAACTCCGCATGCCGCTCCTCCAGAATCTGCACCCACGGACGGATCGCACAGAGCAGCAGGGCAAGGGCCAAGGGCGGTCACACAGAGGAAATCGGAAGAGGAGGTGAGGGGGCAGCAGACAGCGGACAGCGCGGCTACTGAGGCTCTTGGTTAAAGTAGAAAGAAAGGGGAGGGGGGGATATAGCAGAGGTGGGGAAGTGGCAGGGAGAGAGGGGCACGGACAGACCTCAGGCAGGAGGTCTTTGCGAGTGATGATGCCCACGGCCCTGGAGGGAGGCGGCACCACACACAGGTGCCGCAGCCCCAGCTGCCGAAACAGCGTGTGCACCTGCCGTGGAAGCACAGGGGTGGGCGTGGATGGTGCATGGCAGACGGAACTAGGCAGGGGTGGGCTTGGCAGGGCAGGGCAAGCGGGGGATGAGGGTGGGAACTAAAGGCCTGACAAGCACAAACGTGAGGCTTGGTGTTCTGTGCTTGGAAGTTCAGCGAGTGCTGCGTACGTACACTATGCACGCCGCCACATAATGCAAGGTGCAGTGCTTGGTGCATGTGTTGCGAGATGTGGATGGGGCGAACCTTGGTAGGCACGCACGCAGTAGGAAAGCCCGTAGAAAAAAGCACCCCACGCACCTTGGTGAGCGACATGCGCCATGCTTGCATCAGAAATGAAGGCGTTTCGTGTCGATTAAAAAAAAACGTGGAACACACAAAGAGACGGCGCACGGCATGGCACGTGTGATAGAAGTTCCGTTTTGAAGCACCTCAAACCTAGCACGGCCAGGCACAGGCACGCACCTTGGTGAGCGACATGTTCTCATCCACTATGAAGGGCGTGGGGTTGAGGAAGGGCCCCAGGTCGATCCAGAGCGTGAGGTCCTCCCGGGAGAGCTCTATGTCCCCGATGGCAATGCCCTTGGTGGACACCGGCTTGGCGAAGTCCGAGAAGGAGTAGCTGCCCAGGGATCGCAGGGAGCTGCCAGGGGTGGTAGGTTGAGAAGGGGATGGGGGAGAAGGAGGGAGGGGGGGGGGGGGGAGGGAGGGGGGGGGGGTAAGGCAGCGAGGGAGGAATGAAGAGTAGCTGCTGGCGAGACTTAAGCGGAGAGAGCAAAGCATTAAGTGATCTGCAGGGGGTGCACTCTACCTGGTCTGCAGGGGGTGCATTCTCTCTGTGGGCGATGCCTGGAAGTCTGCCTTGGAGCGAAGCAGCACTAACAGTTGGCTGGGATGGGGGAAGGGGGAGTGGCAGCGGAAGGGGAAAGAGTCAAGAGAAAGGCAGAGAGAGAGTGAGGGAGGGATGGAGAAAACGGAGCGAAGAAGATTGGACAACACCGAACGACCAATACGAACAAGAGTGAGAAAGGAGGAAGAGGAGGATCAGGAGGAGCAGGAGGAGGAGGAAGAGGAGGAAGAGGAGGAAGAGGAGGAAGAGGAGGAGGGGGAATGTAGCGTACCTGCGGAGGATGAGTCCAGCAAGAGACGTCTGCCCATCGTCATTGAGGTCCTGCAGCACGGGGTAGCCGTTGTGCGAGGTGGAGCGCAGCACCTCGGCAATGCGCCCCACCATCTCCACGCGCGCAAAGTACACCACCTTGGTGGACGCGGCGTCGCGTGCCGACAGCATGCGCATGAAGCGCTTCGACTGTGCCTCCAGGATGGGGATGCCGCGCAGCTGCGCATGCAGGTCGTAGAACCCCGCATTCAGCCCGTCGCCCACCGCCTGGGGGAGGGAGGGAGGGAGAGGGAAGGAAATCTCTTAAAGCGAGCGTCTACATTGGCGTCAAGGTTCGAAGGACCTTGAACCTCGCCAGGTGTTTTCGGACTCGGGTGGTTCGTTTCGCCCCGGCAAGGTTCAAGGTCCTTTGAACCTTGACGCCATTGTAGTCGCACGTTTAAAGGCATTTGAAGAAATGCGTGCAGGTCGTAGAACCCCACGTTCACCCCGTCGCCCACCGCCTGTTGGCCAGACGCGGAAGGTGGGAGGGAAGGAAGGGGGGGGGGGGGTGGGAGGGAGAGGAACGGGTATAGAGGAACGAAACAGTGTGTGTGAGGGTAGCCATCACCGACAGGATGGGGATGCCGCGCAGCTGCGCGTGCAGGTCGTAGAACCCCGCGTTCAGCCCGTCGCCCACCGCCTATAAAGGGAGGGGGAGGGAGCAAGAGATTGGACCACGCCGAACACGAAACATGGAAACACGTGCAGGCCGTAGACCCATGCATTCAGCCCCTGGTTACATTTGAGGCGCCCCACAGAGCAAGCCTTGTGTTGGTGCGCACCTTGGAGACGAGCATCACGAGCATGACAAGCCGCAGGCAGCAGGTCGAGTTTTGAGACGTCTCAAAACCGAAGAGCAGCGGGCATGAAGGCGAGGTGGTGGTGGTAGTTGGTAGACGAGCGCGAAAGTGAGCGCGCACCTTGGAGACGAGCAGCACGAGCATGATGAGCGGCAGCAGGTTGAGGTTGTTGGTGATCTCCACCATGATCACGCACAGCGACACCGTCATGCGCATCGACCCGCCCAGGAACGACGCCGCGCCCAGAAGCGCGTAGCTGGGGGAGGAGGGCGGGTGCGAGGAGAGGCGAGGGTGGGGGAGGGGGGGGGCGAGGGGAAGGAGGTGCCTCAAAGTTTCCATCCTAGAAGTCCACAGCCCAAAAGCAAACATCACCATCTCATCCCCCGCCTGCCAACCAACAAATCCACTCACACTCCCTCACTCCCCAAACCACTCACACTCCGAACCCACTCGCGCGTCCCCAAGCCCACTCGTGTAATAAGAATAGAGCCACTCACAACCCCTCCACACACTTTCAACCCAACCCCTCGCCCAATCCCCCCCACTCACGTGCCCTTGTCGGTGTTGTCCTGGCCGTACATGTACACCGTGAGCATGCCGACCAGGCGTCCGATAGGCTTTTGAATATTCCAAAAAACCCACCAGATGTCCACACGCGCTTATGTCAGCACCGCCCACCATTTGCCAACCTACCAGCTCCCTCGCCCTTCCCCCACCCACATCCTCCCCCTCCCCCCCCCCCCCCCCCCCCAACCCCGGGACTCACGTGCCCTCGTCGGTGTTGTCCTGGCCGTACATGTGCACCATGAGCATGCCCACCAGGCGGCCGTATGTGGCGCCGATCATGATGCCAGGGACGAACTGCCCCGACGGCACCGCTATGCCGTACGTCAGCACCGCCAGGCAGAAGAAGATCAGCTGGGGGTGGGGGGTTGGGGGAAAGTGTAGGGGGTATCGGGCGGGTGGTGGTGGGGAAGGGTTCTCTCGTTTAGGCGCCTCAAAAACAAACTGACTTGGTGGCACAGCGAGGCTGCACGTCAACACTGCCAGACAGAAGGATTGCAGCTGGGGGGGGGGAGGGGAAGGAGAGGAGGAAGACGGGAGAGAAGAGAATACGGAGAGGGGAACATGTGGAGGGCTGCAATATGCATTCACAAGTATCATTCGCGGATGCAGTGAGTGGCATTCTTGTACGCATGTCTGGCAACGGGCACCTCAACTGAAATTGACATAACCGACACTCAACACACTGACGAGAGTGAGTGAGCGAGCGAGGCGGGACGTGGGAAGTAGAGAGAGAGCGAGAGAGGACGCACTGACGAGGAAGGAGAAGAGGGAGTGGAGAAGTGAGCAAGCCAAGCAGGGGGAGAGTGAGAAAGTGGGAGGGAGAGAGGGCGAGAGCTCTGAGCACTGACGAGGAAGGAGATGAGGGAACCGGCGCTGTACTCCTGGATGGTGCCGCTGCTGAACAAATTGCGGATGGCGTCGTCCTGCCATGCGGGCGGTCGGTCAGAGGTAAGACACGGGAGGAGAGGAGGCACGCACAGGAGACCGGGACGACGGGGGAGACGAGAAAAATGAGGGAGTAGAGGGCGTAGGGGAGTAGAGGGAGATGAGGGAGATGAGGGAGATGAGGGAGATGAGGGAGATGAGGGAGATGAGGGAGATGAGGGAGATGAGGGAGATGAGGGAGATGAGGGAGATGAGGGAGATGAGGGAGACGGAAGATACACAGTACAGTGTCGAACTGAAAGTAAGCCGATAGCAAGTCCAAGAGCACGGTGGCCAGCAGCCACCCGAGTGAGAAATCCCCCTTCCCACCCAACTACCCCTGCTCTTCTTCCCCTCTTGCATCCCCCTCTCGTCCATCCCCTCACTCCCCCTCCCCTCCCCTCCCCTCCCCCTCCCCTCCCCTCCCTCCCCTCCCTCCCTCCTTCCTCCCTCCCTCCTCCCAGCCCTCCCCAGTACCTGTGTGTTGAAGAAGATAGTGGCGAGGTCGTTGTACTGGTCGTCCCTGGCGCAGTTGAACTGTGCGAGGGGCAGGAGAGAGAGAGGGATAGCACAGACACACACACGGGGGGGGCAGCACAGAAACACGGGGGAACACACAGCCAGCGAGGAACAGGAGGTAGATGGGGGACAGAAATTACAAGGACTGGAGGATCGGGACAAGAGGATTTTAAGGGCAGATGACGAGGACTTGATGCGGAAAGGCAGGGACTAGATACGGGACAGTACGGACTCTCTCCTCCTTCCTCCCTCAAAGCTTCAAACGGCCCATTCCCCCATGATCTTCTCCATTCCCCCCACCACTCACTCCCCCCCCCTCCCAACCCTACCTTCCAGCATTCCCCCTGTCCCCCAGCACTCCCCCCTCCCCCCAAACTCCCCCCACCCTGTTGTGCTGCCCCCACCTGCACGAAGTTCCCCCAGTGGTACTTGGGGCGCGGGCACACGATGTCGGGGTAGCGCATGGGGTCGGGGCACGAGCGGCACGGCGCCAGGAAGGGGATGGTGAAAGACAGTGCGGACGTCGCTGCTGCCACCAGACACGCCTCGATGATCTGCGGGGAAGGGGGGGGAAGGAAGGGAAGGGGGTGGAGGGAGGGGTCTATTTTTGAGGCGCCTCAAAAATGGACTCCTCGTCGGGGATGGTGAATGACAGAGCGGACGTCGCTGCTCCCACCAGATACGCCTGGATGATCTGCGGGGGAAAGGGGGATGGAAGGGAAGGGGGAGGGGAGGGAGGGGAGGAGTGGGATGTTGCTTGAGAGGTGAGGCGAGGGCATTATATGGATGGCTGAACGCATTGATACAGCATGTGAATCATGCATAAGGAGAGTGCGGGAGGGGGGAGATGAGCAGGAGCGGAAAACAAAACAGAAAAAAACGGAGGAGAGGAAGCGGGTAGCGAAGAGGAGGAGGCCAGTGAGGCAACTGAGCAGGCGGTGGAAAACACAGGGGCAAGTGGAGAGTTGGAGGAGAACGGAACAGTGGTGGCAGGAAGGCATGAGAGCGCATGATGTTGTGGAGAGTTGGAGAGGGTAAGAGAGGGCATGTGAGGGCAAGAGAGGGCATGTGATGGCATGTGAGGGCATGTGAGGGCAAGAGAGGGCATGTGATGGCATGTGAGGGCATGTGAGGGCAAGAGAGGGCATGTGATGGCATGTGAGGGCATGTGAGGGCATGTGAGGGCATGAGAGGGCATGTGAGGGCAAGAGAGGGCATGTGAGGGCATGAGAGGGCATGTGAGGGCAAGAGAGGGCATGTGAGGGCATGTGAGGGCATGTGAGGGCATGTGAGGGCATGTGAGGGCATGTGAGGGCATGTGAGGGCATGTGAGGGCATGTGAGGGCATGTGAGGGCATGTGAGGGCATGTGAGGGCATGTGAGGGCATGTGAGGGCATGTGAGGGCATGTGAGAAAGGGGCAGACCTTGACTCGGTCGCCTCGCTTGTGGAGCGAGTTACGTCGCCAGGCAGAGAGGTAGAGAGTGAGCTGGTTGAAAAGCGCTCCTGGGAGGGAGGGAGGGACGGACGGGCGGACAGAGAGAGCAGGGAGCAACGGGGGGGAGGGATGGGGCGCATGAAGAGTCTATTTTTGAGGCGCCTCAAAGATGGGGCGCATGAAGAGTCTATTTTTGAGGCGCCTCAAAGATGGGGCGCATGAAGAGTCTATTTTTGAGGCGCCTCAAAGATGGGGCGCCTGAAGAGTCTATTTTTTAGGCGCCTAAAAGATGGGGCGCCTGAAGAGTCTATTTTTTAGGCGCCTCAAAGATGGGGCGCCTGAAGAGTCTATTTTTTAGGCGCCTAAAAGATGGGGCGCCTGAAGAGTCTATTTTTTAGGCGCCTCAAAGATGGGGCGCATGGATGGAAGACAGGGACGACGCGGCCCCAGGGGGCTATGCTGGAAAGAGGGAGAGACGGCGGTGGGGGGAAGGGAACCAAAGGTGGCAAAGGGGTCAAAGGGAGGGCAGGAGGGAGACGAGAAGAATCAGATGTGTGGGTATCCAGAGGGGGAAGGCGCAGGGTGAGGTGCGGAAACGGGCACACAGAAGAGGGAGGGAGAAGCAGAGGGGATAGGAGAGAGAGTAGAGAGGGGACGAAGAGCTATTGAGAGGGGAGCAGTAAGCAGGGGTGTGGGATGTGTGGTACCTAGAAGGCCGCCCATGAGTCCGAGCATTGTCATGGGGAGAAGCTGGTAGGAGAAGAACTCACTCGCACCACTGCATGCATGCATGCAACACATAAAACATCTCTCACACACACACGCACGCACGCATTCACGCACACGTGCCCACGCCACCACACAGACCGATGAGCAGCAAGGGCACAAAAGCAACGGGAGCAGAACAAGGATGGGTGTGGGTTAGGACCTATACTTGGAGAACATGACATACTACCATGCCGTGACATCACACAAACATGACATACTACCATGCCGTGACATCACACAAACATGACATAACATGACGTGACATGGCACGGCACTGCAATTCGCATGGCACGCACCCGTGCACGTCCCAGATGATGAAGCCTCCCGATGCGAAGCGCCCGCACTCCCCGCTGGCGCACCACCGCATGCACGCCTTTAGCACCACCGCCACCACCGCCGACGTGAAGAACACGCGCCACATCAGCTGCGGCCGCCACCTGGCAGCGCGGTCGGTGAACAGAGGAGGGGGGAAGAGAGAGAGGGGGGGGGGTAGGGAGGTTGCAGTGAATTAGTTTACTGACCAGGGGGAAGGATTTTTGAGGCGCCTCAAGATTGGCAGCGTGGTGGCGGCGTGCGGACAGGTGGGGAGGGGTTGTGGTGAAAGAAAGGTGGGTGGGGAAAGGGGGGGTGGGGAGCGGGCTTCGGGTGGCGTGGGGAAAGGTTCGTGGCTGCAATGGAAGAGCAAGCCAGGTGACTTTTGAGTCGACTCAAAAGTCACCTCGTGGGGGAAGGTTCGTGGCTGTAATGGAAGAGCAAGCCAGGTGACAGGAGCAGGGAAGCAACGCAGGGGCGATGAGCGCCTCCGTACGTACGGAGCTCGGCTTACTGCACGGACGGTGAAGAGCACGAGAGATGACATGGCAGTCTTTCACATAAGGATAAGAGAGACCCACCCACCCTACCCCCCCTCCCTTCCCCCTTGCCCCCCTGCCATGAGATGACCCCGCCGCTATGCGATCACCCCCCTGCAGTGAGATGGATGACCCCCTTGCCATGGTGCGTGCCCCTCACCATGAGGTGACCTCCTCCAGTGCAAACAGCACTCCGCCCACAGGCGCTCTGAACGCCGCTGCTGCCCCCGCTGCCGCTCCACACGTGACCTGGGGGCCAGGGGGGGGCAGACGAGACATGCGCACCAAGGAACGTGGAGGGGAGAAAAGGCATGTACACGCACAAGGGCAGAGGGGCCCACTCCACACACACACTCACGCATTAACTAACAACACACCCAAACACTAAAACACAACATACAAAACAACCCCCCTCCCCCCTCTCCCCCCCCCACCCCACCCCACCCCTCTTCACCCCCCCGCACCATGTCGCGTCTGTCCCGGTCATTGCGGAAGGCACGGAACCACTTGAACGGAATGCGGTAGCGCGACGACCCGCCCTGATCAAGGGATGGCGGCGAGGGGGGTCAGGGGGGTTGGGCGGGGGGGAAGGAAGCGGGGGGGGCGGGGGGGGGGAGGGGCGCGGGAGGGGAGGATGGTGAGGGTTCAGGAAGACGGGAAGGGCACAGGGGTGCAAAGTAGTAGCAAAAGGAGGAGGAGAAGTTGGGGGATGAGGACGAACCACTTGCAACAACTAAAAGTACCCCTCTTAGGTAACATAGCTAAGGCCACACAGAGCAGAGCGAGCTCACAGACAAAAGCGTCAGCCCTACTATCAGTTAGTGAAAAACGAATGAGAGAAAAATTCGAGTAGGGGCAGAGATGCAGCAGCAACTTCGAGAGCAGGCAGAGACATGCAAGAGCAAAAGGTGAGGTGGCGGGTGTCAGGTGCCAGGTGCCAGGTGCCAGGTGCCAGGTGGCAGATGGCACATGGCAGGTGGCAGGTGGCAGGTGGCTGGCAGGTGGGAGGTGGGAGGTGGGAGTGAGTCGAGACCTGGCCGATGAGTGCAGCAAGACACGCGCCAGTGTGCACGAGCGGCCCTTCCTTGCCCAGCGCCAGGCCTCCCGCCACCGACCCAACACTGCCCAGCATCTGATGGCAGGGGACAGCACGGCGATGGCAGATCGCAGGGAGATAAGGGGAGGGGGGAGACAAGGGGGGGAGGGAGAGGGGGGAAGAGAGGGGAGTGAGTGAGAAGGAGGCTGGGCAACACGTGCATGTGTTGCATCGCCAGTCCCAGACCACTGCTGTAGTCTGGGAAGAAAAAGCCTCAACTCTTGTTTACAGGCTTTCGGATTGGGTCACATTTGTATTGGCTTGCCTTGGTCTGTCTGGCTCAAGAAGAAGCAGCCTATGTCTGGACTGGTGGGAGCGGCATTCTCTCACGTTGTTATGCTAGGCTAGCTCTCAGGTCCTCCTAGTAGTGAGTGCATGTTATTGCCCTGAGATTGCACGCTAGCACAGCAAAAAGCATCTCAAGGACTCCTTGAAAGAAGCTTTTTACAGCAGGGTGAGGGGGATGAGGGTGGTGGTTGGGGTGGGTGGGAGGGTGAGAAGCGGGGAGGGGAGAGCTGGAAGGGAGAGGGAGGAAGGGAGAGGAAGAGAGGGAGGAATGGAATTTGGTGGTGGTAGATAACTTGTGAATCGACTGGAAGGAAGGGTACAGATGAGTGGGTGGGTGGGTGGGTAGGTGGGTGGGTGGGTGGGTGGGTAGGTGGGTGGGTGGGTGGGTTGGAGGGCAAAGGAGGCAGAGAAGCAGACCTTACCAACCAGCGTGCGCACCAACAGGATGCCCGGCATATCAATGCCTGCACACGGGGGAAAACGAAGCTCCAGCGAGAAGGAGGGGATGGGGCGGGGGGGGGGGAATTGCAGAGGAAGGTAACAGAGGGAGGGAGTTGAAGGAGAAAGAAATATATGAAGGGATGGCAAAAACACCAATCCTGCCTGCCTACTTGCATGCCTGCCTGCCCGCCCGCCTGCAAGCCCGCCTGCCCGCCTGCCTGCCTGCCTTTTGAGGACATGTACCCACAGCTGGGCGTCGAAGAGGATCACAGATACAAGGCGCACTGCCATGCGGTAAAGAGCCCTCAGAGACACCCACCGTTCAAATGCCCCTTGACTTGCTCTCGGGTATCCCCGAGCAGGCAGCAGCGGGAGCAACGCAAGTGACGACGAAGGGAGAGGAGAGAAAGAGGACAAGCTGGCCAACGCGACCCACACCACCACACGTACCGTTCAAATACCCCTTGAGCTCGCTCGGGTATCCCAGAACCAGCGGAGGCGGGAGCAACGCGAGTGATGATGAAGGAGGAGGAGAAGAGGAGAAGGCAAGAAGAAAAATGCGAACCACACCACACCACACCACACCACACCACACCACACCACACCACACGTACCATTCAAATACCCCTTGATCTCGGGGATCCCAGAGCCAGCGGCGGCGGGTGCGAAGCGCGTGACGATGAAGGAGGAGGAGAACACGAGCAGCACGTTGAAGGCAAGGTACACGAGGAAGCCCAGCGAGTACGACCGCTGCATCACCCACCACGTCGCCCCGAACTTCCACCCGGCCAGGATCTCCACTGCCACGTTGATGGAGAAAGCCGCCAGGCCCGTGGCTGGGTCACGTGGGTCGTGCGGAGACGGCGCGGGAGGCAAGTGGAGTGGGAGTAGGGCGGCAGGGAGACGGGACGCGGGAAGGCCGGGAAAAAAGAGGGGGGGGAGAGAGGAAGCGGGGGGGAGCGCGGAGGCGGATGTGAGCACAGGAGAAGCAGCGGTGAATGAGGTTCCATGCGGCGCGGGTCCTTGAACCTCCACCCGGCCACGGTCTCCACTGCCGCGTTGATGGAAAAGGCAGCCAGGCCTGTGGCTGGGAGGGAAGGTCGTTTTGGTGTGGAGTGGAGGGGCTAAGGGTGGGCGGGGCCAAGTGGAGGGGCACAACGTGCGGGGCATGAGCAGCAGAGGGGAGCGTTGAGGGGAGGGCGGATGAGAAGCAAGAGGGGAGGCATGCAGCAGGCAGAGTGCTGGCTTCACGAAAACGGTGGCCAAGCGTATGCCTTCCAAGACGTGGGTAGCGGACAGCATGAGAGAGCGGACGAAAGGGGAGGGAGGGGAAGGGAGGGGAAGGGAAGGGAAGGGAAGAGACAGGAAGGGGGAGCGGAGGGACGTGTGTATGTCCAGGGCCACGCATGCGTGCATGCAGCCATTCCGTACCTATGCCGAGGCAGAGAGCGAAGACCCACTTGACTATGAGGTAGCCCATCTGGTGCAGCTTGCCCCTCCTCGCCTGCCAGGAAAGTTGACACACGGAGGAGGGGGGGAGGGGGGGGAGAGAGGGGGGAGAGAGGGGGAGAGAGGGGGTGAGGGGGGGGGAGAGGGGATGAGGGGGGAGTCATTGATGGAGGAAAGACCGAGAGGGCACAAGGGGGGGAAGGGGGAAAGGGGGGGAAGGTGTGGGTTAAGGGAGGGGAAGAGGGGAAGAGGGGAAGAGGGGAAGAGGGGAAGAGGGGAAGAGGGGAAGAGGGGGGACGCAGGCACAGTGAGAGACGTTAAAGAGATGCGGACAGGGAAGCACAAGAGCAGGACACAGAAAACAGAGTAGGCAACATGGCAGGGCGAAGGGTGAGCGAAACCCTGGAGGGTGTGCGAAACCCTGGAGGGTGTGTGCGACAACGCCATTAGACGGATGGACGAGAATGGAGTTGTTATAAACTCATCGTGCCTCTAAAACAATGACGATTTACACAGCAGAAGCACGCACACTCCTCAACTCCCCACCTCCCCACCTCCTCACCTCTTCACCTCCTCACCTCCTCACCTTCACACCTCCCCACCTCCTCACTGCACCCAGCACCGCCATGGTCCCTGCGCATCGCCCTCACCTGTTCCTCTCTGTACACCGAGTTGTCGATCACATCGTAGTCTAAGCTCTCCAACGGATCCCCCTGCGCCCCTTGCGGCCCCTGCGGATACTGCCTCCCCTCTCCTCCCCCCTCCCCGACCCCGCCTTCCTCCTCCTCCTGCGCGCCAACTTCCGCCCGCGCACTTTCTCCGCCTCCCCGCCCTCCCCCCAGCAGCTGCCCCTGCTCCTCATGCCGCCAGAAGAGCGTGTCCCATCCCCATGCGCGGAGCACTGACCGCACTGCCCTCCCCACGCGCCCCCACGGCTGCGGAGCCCGCCACTCCTCCCCCGGCCCCTGCGCGCGTGCGCCCCTTCCACCCAGCTCGCCCCCTCCGCCGGCTCCATCCGCGCCCCCGCTTCCCCCAGTAGCAGCCCCCGCGCGTCTCCCTCCCGCGGAAAACAGCTGCCGGCGGACGGGGTATCGCTTGGCGCTGCCCTTCCGCCTTCCGCGACTTCCGCTCCCGCCCCTAAGGTCGGGCGGAGGGCGCCCGCCTTCGTTCCGCCTCGAGACTCCGCCCGCCTCCGCCACATCCGCGTCGTCGCCTGATCTCCTCTGGCTACCGCTACCGCTACCGCTACCGCCGCCGCCAGCGCCGTTACCCCCGCTGACTCCGCTACTACGACTATCCCTGCGCTTATTTTCTCCGCCAACGTCGGTAGGAGGATTTCGATTTAACAAAGCGTCGTCGATCCGTTCCGATCCACCGCTGTCCAGCCTGTCAGACCTAGCGTCCGCTTGCCCCAACCGTTCCCCGTCAATCGAGTCCGCCGCTTCCGCCTGCGCCTTTGCTCCCGCTTCCGCTTCCGCTGCGTACGCGTCAGTCGTTACTGCCTCACCCGTTACTGTCACTCTCAAATCTCCCCCGATCTGGCCTGGCGGAAGCTCCCCTTCCGCACGAACAGCTCCGCTCTCTAGGATCAGGGGAGGAGGGTCCGCGGAGCCGGCGGAGCCCACGGAGCCGTCGATGGCGGACACGGCGGAAGCCAGAGACGCGGCCACGCGGAGATGGTGCGCGACGATCTCCGCTCGTCGTTCCGCAACACTAGGAGACGCGGAGACAGAGGCGGAAGTTGCGCCGCGGCGGGCCGAAGCGGCTCTGGCGGAAGGGCCTGCGCTGCCCGCTAGGTAAGGCGACGGCGATCGGAAAGGCGTCGAAGCCGCGGAGTACGGGGATGCGGCCGCGGGGTAAGGGGATGCGGCCGCGCTTCCCCCGGGAGGCAAACTGGCAGTGGCATACGGAGAGGCCACGTTAGACGGAGAAAGAACGGACGATGTGTTCGGGGAAGTGATAGTGACAGCTCCCAAGGCAGAATGCCCAGGGTTGTTAACAGGTGATGCTACTGTAGAATCATCCGACTGGCCGAACCTATTGCTCGCGGCTCCCGAGCCTAATCCCGAGCCTAAGGCACCTCCTACGCCTGCTCCGCGCGCGGGGTCCATGCGGGCACGTGCGCGGCAAGAACCAGACCCGACGACCGATGACGGTTCAATAGCGCGTATGGTCGTCGGAGGTGTCGCGTTACGCCATCGACACGTCCTCCGGCGTTTCGGAGAAAGTATCTGCTATGCGCCGAGGAGAAGAGAGTGGGTCGCAGCCCAAAGCACACGGAGTTCTGCCCTCCTGCGCAACTCCTACCACCTCAAACTCTTTTCATAGGGATTGCGGGAATCGGGATCTGTGCCTGGACCATTTCCCTTCATTCAAATTTCACACAGGAAAGAGACCTTGCTGGGACCCGCTACTGTACAGTACCGCGCTACACCGGAGAAGCAGGCTTCGTGGGCTGGGCTGGGCTGAGCTGAGCCTTGGAAGGAAGGCAAGTGTGAGTGAGGGCAGTGCAAGAGGCACGTGGGGCAGGGACGGAGGTGTTGGATTGGAACTCGAAGACATCGGTGGGGGGAAACAAGGGCATTGGCCGTGCCAAGACAAACACGTGGGCAGCCCGCAGCGAGCCCAAGTGATTGCCATTCCTGCCCTGACCGTCTCTGATCTGACGGCGACCTCTGCTTTCTTTCGGAGTCTTGCCGTGCGGCACCCCAAAAAGAAAACGGGACGGGACGGGAACGCCGACGGGCAACACTGTTCATGTTCAAAACCCTAAGGGCGTGTCCAGCGCGTACGTTTGATTGCGGTTGGGTAAGGTGCCTCACGGATCAGGGCATGGAACATACAGTTCCGAACAGTCTTCGTCCGAACTTCCACCACACTGTACCACGTGGTTATCTAATTTTCATACGTCAAAAACGTTTTGCAAATCACTCTACCACTCTGGCTGTCCGAACTTTCAGAAGTTCGGAACTGTATGTTCCACGTCCTCAGAAGGATCAATAACGAATCTAAAACGGTCGGGTATGGTTCTGACCAAAAACGTACGCGCTGGACACGCCCTTATATTTGGTGCGTCAAGTACAATACAACACTTTCTGTTCATGCTCTACAAACAACGTATGGTGGTGGGTGGCCCCACTGAATGTACTGTAATAGCTTAGTGAAGAACTTGACAAATGGGCGAATGATCGTCAAGAATGTGCTGGGCACAATGAGATGTGCACACGACACCAGAAGGTGGGCAAGACGAGTGTCATCGTCTACTGATACGGTAGTTTATAGGAGGGTGCACCATGGGGGGTGTGTGTGAATGTGAAGCATGATACACTGTAGATCCATACGATAATAGACAGCTTCATAACACGGGGGCTGGGTCAAGACTCAAGACTATGGGGCTGGGCTTCCCTGCAACAGGGAAAGCAGGCATTGAGAACGAGGGAGAAGTGAGGACGCCTGTAGTGTACTGATGGTGAAGGAGATACTGTATGAGAGAGAGAGAGCATGGGGATGAGACCAAGCAGACAAGATTACAAAACTATTCGAACGAATTGCAGAGGAAGCGAGGGAGAGTGTGTGTGTGTGTGTGTGTGTGTGTGTGTGTGTGTGTGTGTGTGTGTGTGTGTGTGTGTGTGTGTGTGTGTGTGTGTGTGCGCGCGCGCGCGTGCGTGCGTGCGTGCGTGCGTGTGTGCGTGCGTGCGTGCGTGTGTGTGTGTCTGTGTGTGTGTGTATGTGTGTGTGTGTGTGTGTGTGTCTGTCTGTCTGACTGTCTGTCTGTGTGTCTGTGTGTGTGTCTGTGTGTGTGTATATGTGTGTGTCTCTGTGTGTGTCTCTGTGTGTGTGTGTGTGTGCGCGCGCGCACGCGCGCACACGCTGGCATGCAGGAGAGGAGAGGGGAGAAAGGGGTGAGGGAAGGAGGAATTGGTAGAGAGAGCTGCGACCTGGAAAAACTTACGGAGATCGCAACAGCAACTCCAAATCTGCAAGGGAGGTACTACCCTACCCCACATCCCCACCTCACAACCCCACCTCTCATGTTTGATTACTGTTGCTGCCCGTCCCTGCAGCAGCAGCAGCGCCACCATGGGCAGCAGCAGAAACACCAGGCGGCGAAGCATCACCAGCGCCAGCAGCATTGGGGGAGGAGATGCGGAAGGAAACCTGAGGGGAAGAGGAGCCGTTTCTGCCAGGAGCGAGAGACAGGGAGGAGCTAGCGGGCCGAGACGGGGGCGAGAATACCCCTCGAACGGCGTGACTGGCCGGGGAGTGGGCAGAGGTAGCGGTGGTAGTGGAGGCAGGCGCAGCAGCAGAGGGCAGGCGAGAGGGCGAGTCTGGTTCTGACATGCTCATGGACTGAGGCGGTGGGGGGGAGGATGGGGTGCTGGCCCTGCAAAAAACACCACAGGGGAATGAAGGAATAGAGAAGGAATGCAAAAGTTTTGGTACGTTTGGGCTGGCGCAGTGGCATGTCTGCCCCTACAGCAGGTGGACACGTGGAATGGTTTGATAAGAGAAGGTAAACAAGGGCAATAATCACATGGATCGACAAGGAGCAGAGAGAGCAAGCAAAAGGGAGGAGGAACCTACGCTGTGCGGGGGGAGGGTCTGCTGGCACGTTGAGAGGCAACATACGGTGGCGAGTAGGTTGAGCGGGATGGGCTGTGCAGCACAGGAATGGGTAGAGACGCATTGGAGTGCTTCGTGATCAAACTGAAACTTGGCTGCATAAGAACGTGCAGAGGCAGCATAATGCTATGTGCCAAGAAAGCGAGAGGTGTGCAGGCATGCGCGCGTGCGCGCGCGCACACACGAATGCATGTATACATAAACATGCACATGATAAGCCTTCACCCACGCCCACCACATTTGGAAACATCTGCAGAATCACCCTCTCAAAGCCTACAAGGCCTGGACTGGAACACGAAGGATCAGCCAGTCTGATTCAGGTGCAGCATAGACATTCATCTCACCCTTGAGTGCTCGTGCCTTGACTTGCTAACCGCCCACCCGAACCGCTTCCCCCTCCAAACCCCCCTGTCCCTCCCCCTCCAAACCCTCCTCCCCCACCTCCTCCTCCTCCTCCTCCTCCTCCTCCTCCGCCTCCCCCCTGCGACCGACTCCCCAACTGAGAAAACGAGCCAAAGAACCATGAACCCACACCACCACCACCTCCCCCTCCCCCTCCCCCTCCCCCTCCCCCACTAGACCCGTCTCCTCCTCCTCCCCCACCCCCCCCTCCTCCTCCGCCCCACCCCCGCCTCCTCCTCCTCCACTCCCCCACCCCCCCCACCACCCAGCGCCGCGGCAAGGCTAGCAAAGGCGGACATGGCAGAGGAAGCAGGGCCAGAGAGGAACGACCCTGATGACGACGACGACGACGACGACCCTCCATGCCCCGTCCCCGACCCGCCATCCCGCCCCCCTCCCGCTCCCCCTCCGCCCCCCCGTGCGCTTCCCCCCCCACCAGCCCCTGAGCCTTGTCCCGAGAGGGAGAAGGAGGAGGGCCAGCCCGAACCCCCGCCCTCCCTTCCGCTCTGTCCGCCTTCTCTCGCCCCTTGCCCTGCTGCTCTGCGGGCGAGGCTTGCCGTGAGGCTCGGGGGGGACACAGTGCGGGGTGCAGAGCCGGGATGGGAGGATTGCAAGCGCGGGAGGGCGGAGGAGAGGGGGGCAGAAAAGCGGTTGGAAGAAGGAGTGGAGGAGTTGCCTCCTCCTATTGCTCCCGGCCCTCCCCTGCCGAATCCAGTCACCAATACTCCTCCTCCTCCTCCTGATCCGCCCCGTTCTCCTCCTCGCTCTCCTGCTGCGTGATCCCCTGTTCTTCCCTCCATGTCTTGCAGCGAAAGTGCATTGGACGAGCGTGTAAAGGCCGACAGAAACGCATTCGGAGGAGTTAAGCTCCCTCCTCCCTCCTCCTGCCGGCTCTCCCCGAAATAAATCCCGCCAGCACCACCACTGCTGCCGCCGAACCTAATACGGCCACTCGAGCCAGCCGATCTGGTTTGGCGAAGAGCCATCTCACCTGCACCCCCGCCAGACTCCTCATCCTCTCCCTGCTGCTGCTGCTGCTGCTGGCGATGGTGTTGCCGCAAGCGCTGCTGCTGCTGGCGATCGGAGCCATGCTGGTGGCGGTGGTTGTGGTGGTGTAGGTACTGGTGCGCGGAGCGGGAGGAGAAGCCTGCTGCTGCTGCAGCGGCAGCCAGGTGCTGTAGGATTCGCCTCTCCAGCTCTGAATCCTCAGATAGCTCTGCTAGCTGAGGAGGAAGGGTAACCAGGGCAAGGACGAACGGTGGATAATGGACATGGGGAAGCAAGGGGAGTGAACACGGGGAAGAAAGGTGAAGGTGACGGTACAAGCAAGGCAGGCACGGGTGAAAAAAGAGCGGCCGCCCCGGCCGAAACGCCTTGAGATGAACCATGATGCAGAATGGCGCAAGCACGCGTGCAAGCAGAATACGCACAAGCAGCAGCACAATTAGCAGAAGAACACGTATGCGCAGCAGCACGCAGAATAAGCTGCAGAACACGCACTAACAGTAGCTCAAGAAGCAGCAGAACATGCACGAGCACACACAGTGGCAGCAGCAGCAGCAACAGCAGCAGTACCCACCCGTTGCTGCAGCGCTGCAAACTCCTCCAGAGCAGCGCGGTTCATGTGCATGCGGGAAGACGCTGCTGCCGCCGCTGCCGCCTGCTGCGCCCTCATCGCCCTCTCCGCTGCACACGCTGCCAGCAGCTCTTGACTGTTGGAGGAGAATGGGTGATGGAAGGAGATAGGGAAGGGGGGGGGGGGGGGGGAATCAAGTAAAGGGGAAGCGGGGGGGAGGCGACAGTAGGAGTGGGGGCGGGGGGTAGTTTCGGCATGTCTTCTAATGCAGGCTGGTTCAGAGACTAAGGCGTGGTGAGCGGAGGATAAGAGGCTGCGTTTAGAGCAAAGCTGGACGCGCAGCAGGAAAAAACGGGGCCTCGCTTGAGCTGCCATTCGGTTTAAATGGGTTGGTGGAAGAACGAACTCAACACAGGCAAGCGTCGTTGACTCACCCGTGCAAGGGACACATGTATGGTGTGGACGCACGCACCTGTCAGGGTCCTTGAGCACTAGAGTGCGCCAACACATGGGGCAGTCCTTGCTGCGCTGTGCCCTGCAGTAACACACACACGCAACACCCATGCACGCACACGCGTGCACACACACGTGCACACAGAACGGTCCATGTCCAATGGTTATGCCATATTCTGGCCCACATTCGCTCTCAAGAATGAAAAGACCGCCGTCTCCTACCCTGACCCAGCACCCCCCTAATCTAGCCCTTCCAATTCTTTCGACCTCCCTCCCAGCCTCTGTCAACCTCCTTCAATCAAGTGCCCCTTCCCTCCTGACCCTCTCATATATAACAACCAACCCAAGTTACCATTCAAGAATGCACTGCAGGTGGTAGTGGTGGTTGCACGTGGTTGGCTGCACACCAGGAGCGAAAAATGGTGACAGGAAATACAGACATGGAGAGGAAAGGAGCAGGTGCGGGGAAAGGGGCGATGTGTGATCAGCAATTCCAAGGACCACGGTTTCCACGTTGAGGCAGGTATGAAACACCTTGACTTCCCTCCTCTGAACCCATTTGAAGCCCGGCCAAAGCAGACGGACGGCGTTTGGCTATCAGGAGACATATAACCCTGCCTGCCTCTTTGCAACCTCAGCTCTGACCTAACGTGTGCGGCTTCTCTCATCCAGCGTGAACGACGGGAATGCCCAGCCTCTTGCCATTGCTGCCACGCCACTTCAGAGGGATCTCTCACATCTCGCTCCAGACTCTTCTTGATTCACCACCCATATTTCCGTTCCAGGAGTCACCACCACAACCCATTCGCTCTTCTAGCACTCACAACGAAGCGCCCCTTTTATCCGTTAGAAGCACGCTCGGCGGTAACCACTCGCGGTGGACGGTTCCTTACTCACTCACTCGTTTAAAGAACGCTCGGTAAGCTCACACACGCACACACCCACACAGACACAGACTCACGGTGGAGGGTTCGTCGGGCGTGAAGTCGTCGAGGCATATGCTGCACGCGTCGTCCGCGGCGTCCTGCAGCCCCGCCTCCACAAACGCTGCAGCGGAACTGAACTTCGCCACTACGTCCTCCTCCTTCTGCTCCTCCTCCCCCTCCCCTTCCCCCCTTTCCCCCTCCTCCTGCTCCTGCTCCTCCTGCTGCTCCTCCTGCTGCTCCTGCTCCGCCTTATCCTCTCCCTCTTTGTTCAGCGTGCCTCCCCCCCCTCCCGCCGCTCCGCCCTCTGCGGCCCCCTTTTCCGCCAACGCCGCCGCTGCTGCCTCCGCAACAGCTGCAGCAGGTGTTTCTTCTCCGCCAATGGCAGAATCCAACTCAGCGTCCGGCGCAGTTCCCCCGCTCCGAGCTCCTCCGCTCTCGCCTCCTTCCGCTTCTTCCCGGCTCCGCATCGCCGCTTCCTCCGCTTCCGCTTTCCGCCGCTGCGCAACTCCTTCCGCTCCCCCTTCCGCTCCCCCTTCCGCGCTGGCCAGTGCGCCTGCAGGGGCTACAACTACATCCGAAGGTGCCGGCGTCGTTTCGCCGACGTCAGAATGGCCTGTCGCAGATGCGACGCTGGGCAGCTGCGACGCTTCGTGGTTACCGTTCGCAAACGCTGCGACGTCAGGTTCGCGAGCAGCTGTAGCGACGTCAGCCGTGGTGTGGGTGGGGGCTGAAGCTTGGGATCCGGCCATGCCAGATAGGGCAAGGCTCCTTAACGCACAGGAAGCTATTTACAAAAAGGCGGGAAACAGTGCGGACATGGATCCCGAAACAGTGCGGTCGAATATGTGAATAAAAATAAAGTACGGACGGGGAAGAAGTGGGATGGGAGGGGTGGGAAAAGCGCGGAGGGTGAGAGAAAGAAAGAACGGACATGGCGCACGAGAGAGAAGGGTGCGGCGGTACGAAGCAACGACGCTGGGGACGTAAAAAGAAAGAAAAGAAACAGAATACGATGGGGAGGGGGAATACGATGGGGAGGGAGGGCTGGATGGATAAATATACACGGTGACTACGCGCCACAGTACGACACTCACTTGACCGGCGCTCGTCCAGGCACTGCTAGGCGGCAATGAACCGAGACGACTTTCTCCTTAGGGCGACCATCGCCACCGAGGGATGCGTGACCTAACGGATCGAAAGTCGTGATTTGCAACCAGGGAACATCGACAGGTGTCCGGATCTAGCTGAATAGCCCGAAAACCGGAACCGGAACGTCCTAGGAGCTGTCGAACTGCAGCCAGATGTGTAGTCGGGTCTTGAGTCTTGTCTAGTATCGACGCTCAAAGTGGCGGATGAAATCCCAGCAGAACTGGCATCGGCTGGAGAGGTGTTTCCGCCATGGTGGCAAATTGTGATGGTTGCTTGCCCTGCGTGTCAGCTCAGCAGCAGAGCAACAGCATTCTGGGTGTGCTGCCAATGGTGGACGAAGGGAATGTGGTTCGCTGGAATGGGATGGGCCTTGGAGCTGGGTGGGATGGGATGAGAGATGGGCTGATGGGATGGGACAGTGGGAGGGAGGAGGACCTCGGGCTTGACGTCAACCTTGTCGCCTCGCCACCGCCCCTCCCTGCGACATTCCAGTCCAGTAGTGTTCCTCTCACAGTGGCGGCAGCATCACACCAAGTCAAACCTAGGGCAGGAGGTTGCTCCCTCGAGCTTGTCAGAACAGGCTCGGCGTTGTGGCCCGAGGGCTGGATGGGCACTTTCCCCGATCAATTGTGGAACCGAGGAGCAGGCGCCTAGAGAGTTCTGGAGCCTTGGGTCTGACCCGAGGGTCTTTCGGGAAGACCCGCGGTGGAAAAAAATGTTTTGGGCCTTGCGATCTCTGACGGCTGCTTGACTGGATACGCACGACGAGATTTTAAAATACGTCGGCGCGCAATGTTTCCGAACGGAGGACCAGAACGTCGTCCGCCAATGCAGAGTCTCCATTCACTTGTACGGTTCAAAATTAACTGTTTGGGTACACGACCGTCAGAATTACACGACTGGCTTCTTCGACCTTAGGTCTGCCTCGGGTATGACACTCGCTCCAGAATAACCCTTATAACAAGAGGTGCATTTATCTGGCAATTCGTAGGGATGTCAACATCTTACTTTGTTCAGACGAGGGTTGCTGCAACTGGATCGGAACATATTACTTTGTTCAGGGTGCTACAAAAGTATTACGGAGATATAGGGGCTCCAATTCGACCGACAGAGGGTGGGTCGGGAACAATAATATGGAGCACAAAACTCTCTCAAAGAAACAGTTTCCACTTGGGGGCCTTCACAGCCGTGCTCGTTATGGACTCTCCAAACAATCTCAAGGGGTACCTCAAAAATCGGAGTCTATAACGAGTACGAGCAGCGGTTACATGAAAATGAGCTAAGAAAATTCATATGGGAAGGGCAATTAGTCCAGCACGTACTGATACGCATAAATGAGAGACGTTCGCCAACACCCACTGACCCTCTTCACCTAGTAAATTTTACCAAAGCGAGCATATGCATTATAGCACCACTGCCTCACAAAGCCAAACCAAGTCTAATGCTACCTAGCATGCTATGCTACTGCAGAATTGTGTTATAACTCAACCACTACCCACTGAGTTAAAAGGGCTTGTTAATAGTGGGTCAGTGCGCCCATAGCCTCCCAAGCTTTGCACACATGGCCCTTCCCCGAGGATCTTTGTTATGAATGGAACTACCGAGTAGCACGGAGGGCAATAGCGAAACTGTGAAACAGTGAATGACAATAAAATGAAAGACAACACAATATATAGGAAACCTAGGGCGATCCTGGACGTAGGATCGGAAGGTTCAGGAAAGGTATCGAAGGGCCTCGATGTGTCGAAGCGAGGTCCGGAAAGGCCCAGGAGGCTCGAACTGAAAGGTTTGGAACCCTATCGCTAGTTCGGGACTGTTCGAGTCGTACGCCCTGTAGCAAGCCTCAGTAAGGAATTACTAATTCCTTACACTCTCTCCCTTTCTAGAAAACTACACAAATAAACAAAACTACACACACTCTAAATGAATCTCATCGTAGTGAAGACACCACAGTTGAGAATCTTGAGCTTCTTCAAGGAAACTCCATCCAACGGTCGAAACACGTCGAAACAATCGCCGTCGATCGTAGCCGTCGAATCTTGGTCAAATTACCCAGATAACCAAACGGGCAGTAGGGATACTACCGCACCACAACTTCCTTGGCCCCAGCGAGTCCTTCGCTGAGAATTACAAACCCATTCGTCGTGTACTGTATCCGCACAGTTACACAACGTTATTCACGCTCCTGCAAGTTGGCGAGCCGGATTTGCTAAATGCGCCAAACTTATCCGTAGCTCCGTATCTGTACATAGATTCTCGTTTAATTCCACTTGAGTCGTGACACTCGCAGAAAACGCGTCCGTGTTTCGCGGAATCAACGAACTCCAACTATTCGTCAAATGCGAGATCATTCGCGACACATGGGAGAACACGCGTTGGTGTCTCACGAAAGTCAGCGAAGTCCATCAGCATATCGACGAACGCTCAATCAGTCCAGTTACACTAGTCGATGTCTCCATACGCGGTTCATGAAAACACGCATTGAACGTTCGCAAACACCTGCGAAATTCCTGAAAGGCCAACTTGAATCAGCCTGTCGATTCAGTCAGTCAAACCACATCTGTCCGTCAATGCTCATGCAGCGGATGCTAAACTATCGAGGGGAATTTTTTTAAAAAAAATTGCTGCGCAGCTGCTCTCTCCCCCCTCAATGAAAAAAAAAATATTATGTCGTCGATGCCGAAAATACCTTGCTTCAAGTTTCTTTAGACCATAAAATTAAAGTATCTTCAAACTCTGCTCGTCGGGACCAGTCTCTGCGCGACCCTATAACGCAGGGCAGCTGCGCCACGTAGACTTTGGCTCTGTCCGACACCGTATATAAATATGCAGCTTCTCAACTACCGTCGATCTGCTCCGTATTGTTATCCTCTGTAGAAATTTTCACAACTCAACTTGATTGGTGTGTCGTGCAGACGTTCACCGATCGCGCGGCTACGGCAGGTACCCAAAAAAAACTCGGGTACAATTCTCAGATACGAAAAACGCATTTTCTGCAGTTTTACTGACTAACCATGCTGGTATTTGAACCAACGCCAGCTCGGTAGGTACCCGTGACCCCAGCTACCGCTCCAGCCAAAAACATGAAGAATTCCTACCCGAAAAATACCCGATGCACCGACGTTCACCCATCATTGCGCCCGTCCAGGTAAATCCTCGAACGAGTCCTCGCAGCCGAATCTTCGATTATAGCCCCGCAACTCAGGAATAATCTTTGAAGACTCCCGCGTGACTCCAAATTTTCTGTGACGGCAAAACGCTTCTCCCACTGCAACAGTAACCCTTGTCTTCCCTAAGCTCCATTTGATGAATACACTCCAGAGCAGGAGTGAATCCGCCTTATCCCTGTACTCAAATAAGTGCAAACGCTATCGTAGTTGGGAGAATTAATCAGTCTAATTTGCGCGCAACCGCTTTGCAGCTTACGTAAGGGATTCTCCTTCCCCTCCCTGAAAAAACCGTCTCTCAAGAAATCTGCTCCAAACAGCTGCAAATTTCTTGGGTTTTCTGTTGTTCGGTTACTGCTACTTGCGATCCGCGCATAGTAGTCACGTTTAGCACATAGAGAGGAGGGTTTTTTCGCTCTCTGAGCAGCGAGGGGAGGTTTAGTGTTCATCTAGGTTAAAGCAAGGGTCTCAAGAAGCAAAAAACCAAATCCAAAGGTTTTGGAAACCCAACCGAAATTGACCGGGTTATCCAAAAGCCCCTGCGACAAGCAATGACGGAAAATGGGTGAGTCTGATTGGTCCAACACCACCACCCAAAGGGTGGACGATCCTCTCCCTCCTTATCTGTGCAACCATTTGGAGCATGTGCTAATGCACTTGACACCCTCAGGCTCGCGGTAAGCTAGCCCCCGCCATCTGCTTTAAGATTTAGGAAAAACATGTAGGGGGCCTAAGCAATGACAGCGCACTTAGCATTTATTGTTCCGGTTACAAAGAGAGGCAAAATTTGCCCCTTTCGCCAGCGTCACGCGCCACACCACCCGCTCCTCTCACGCGAATCACACCCATTGCGTGCCCATCCGCGTCAGACGCTATCTTTGCCACACGTCACGCAATTCGCCCTCGTCACACCCCCCCAATTCTTTGTCGGCCCCATATTGCCCCCCTCTCGGTTTGGCGCGTATAGCACACGTCGCACTAGTCTCCGCCACGCTCCCACTTCGACACGCCCCTCGTCCAGAGCATAGCAACACAAACACGAGCGAAATGCGGCACGCGCGCCTCTGCGTTTCTGCTACTAGCCTAGCCGCCTTGCTCCCTGCCATTCCGTCGCCCCGCTCTGTCTCCCACAACCCCTCGCCATGTTTTCTCACCCCCCCCCCCCCGCCCCACTCCCACGCCATGCTCTCCCTCCAAAGCCCCTCAGATAGAAGTGTGGATGTGGCGTGTGCGGGGAGATTGGCAGAGACTCGCGGAGAGGCGTAGAAGGGGGCAACGGCGGATACTCGCGTGGGAGGGGCGTAGAGGGGGGGAACAACAGATAGGAGCATGGGGGGAGGTGTAACATATCGCCCTACGAACCTCCCCTCCTAGTCTAACTATCGCGACTTATCTGGACGTTCCTGGGTTCCCCTTGCGCAGGAAGTTGCAGGAACATATTTGGAATGTCGGGTGAGGTTGGATAGGTTTGGGATTGAAGGTTGGGAATTTATGTTTGGGTGATAGGGTTGGAGTGGTGGTTACCACTCCAACACCAAGTGACAGGCTGGATTTGGGTTGGGCAGCAATGATTCCTATTGGTTGCAATTCCAACCAATGCACATTTAGCAACCCAAGATAAGTTTGCACACCTCAGCAAACTGATTCCAGCTCACTACAAATTCCCTGGTTGGGAAATCCCAACCCATGCCACATGGGCAAGGCCCACAACTGGTGCACCACCCCCTTGGCCATGGAGGAGGTGGTTGCACCCCAAGGGGTCTAGGAAGTGGGAGGGCTCTTGGAGCTCATTCTTCACTTTCCTTCCCCAATACTTCAATATTGGAAGAAGGATCCTCCTCCTCTCTAATTCCTCCAACCGCTATCTCTACCACAAAGGACTTCGCCAAATCTTGGCTATTTCCTTGTCACCTCCAAGTTCCCCTTGAAGTTCAAGCCTACTCCTAGTTCTAGTTAGGAGTGCTCTATCATTGTATTCTGCTGTTTATAAACCGGTGTTGCTATAAACCGGTGGATGTTATAGGAGGAGTAAAGGGGGGGAAGGGCGAATAGGAGCGTGGGGAGAGGCAGGGGGGAACGGCGGATAGGAGAGTGGAAGGAGGCGTAGAGGGGGGGAAGGGCGGATAGGAGCGTGGGAGGAGGCGCAGAGGGGGGGAAGGGCGGATAGGAGCGTGGGGGGAGGAGTAGAGGGGGGGGAAGGGCGGATAGCAGCGTAAAGGGGAGGATGGGCGGACACCAGTGTCACGATGCTGTGTAGAGGGGGGTGGGGGTTGGATAGCCATGTGGGGGCACGGTTTACAGGGGGGATGGGTAGACAGCAGCATGCGGATGCGGTGTAGATGGGGGGATAAGCGGATAGGAGCGTGTGGATGCGGCGTAGAAGGAAGGAAGCATGGAATAGGCGTGTTGTGAGGCAGAGAAGTTAGGGAGAGAGGGGGGGAGGAGCTCGATGACGGCAGCTAAAACTTCCTCTCCTCTCACCTCCTCTCCCCTCACCTCCTCTCCCCTCACCTCCTCCCCCCTCACCTCCTCTCCCCTCACCTCCTTTCCCCTCACCTCATCTCCCCTCTGCTCCATTCCCCTCACCTCCGCTCCCCTCACATGAATCCTTTGTTCCCCCTCCCTGCCCTCATTCTTACCCCCCCCCACTCCTACGACTACTCCCATGTTGTGCCTCGTGCTTCTAATTTCACCCCCTCGCTTTTCACCTCCGTTTCCCCTCCCCCTCTGCTCCCATGCTGTCTCAATTTCACCCCCTGCTCCCATTCTCAAACCCGCTTGCTCCCATTCTTACTCCCCATTAGCCCCTGCTCCAATCGGATACTTTGGCCGCATGGTTATAGCGGATACGGCTGCTGGTTGCTGCTTCAAGGGCATTCTTTGGTGCTCTGCGCCCCTGTACACTACCGTAATATCATTAGACGGTACACTTTATGCTTTCAAAGTTGCATAGATCAATGTACTGTTTTTTAGATTGTCGTCGAGTAGTTTACCCTGAAAGTGTTTGTGGTTCGTAACTAATGAATGTATCAAGTGGTTAAAACGGCCTAAAATTGTGAGATACCATATTGTTTTGATTTGTTCTGGGCTGATTTCTTTATTAGTTACGCTGGTGCAGTGTTTGTCTGGGTAGCGAGCGGCTGTAGGTGGGGCTTCAAGGCTCTTGACCCTATTTGTCAGGGAAGTGAGGAGCCAATCCCGAGGGTGTTGTAGTACATGATTTCGCTTTTGACAGGGTGTTGTTCTGGTAAAATATGCTTCACGTGTCACATCTGTTGTCGTGTAATATGCCCAAATACAAATCTATGGATCTTTTGAACACTTCCTCCATTACCTGTCACATTTCCACTTCGTCGCTTGTACCTGCGAGCAACATCGCTCAAGCCTAGCGAGCTGCATCTCATCACGTTGGCGGTGTTGTCCCTTCGTTTAGGGTAGAGGGGCGATTTTTCTGTCGCTTGGCTCTCGCTCACTTCGCTACCATCGTAATCCAAAACCTTGGGTTTTGAAAAATCGCTTCTTGGGATCCTTGCTTTAGTTCGTCTCTCATTGGATCGCGTTTCACAATTTCATTGGTTACACATTGTACCTCGGCTTTTTGCTGTTCTCAGCAACTGTTCCCGAAAATCTCCATCAACTACAAGGCACGTCGCTGAACGAACCTGGAAATAGAATGAGCCTCGGGTACCGTCAATTTCTGACGGCAAAATCAACAACCAACTTATTTTTCAGACAATCCCATATTGAGTATTGGCGTCATGTTTTATCTGTCTTAGGGTTGCGGTCGATTAAATCGTCTTAGGGTTGCGGCTCTCAGAGTAGCGAATTGACTAGAATGGTAAGGAATTACGATTCCTTACTGGGGCTCGCCATAGTGAGTACACACGAACCCTTCGCGTCCGCAGCCTTGGCCTTCAAGTCACGCGCCAAACTAGACCCCGCGAACCTATTCGGCCCCAACTTGATCCCGAGTCGCTCCGAACCCATTTCGTCACCGTCACCATCGGGACTCTCGGCCCTTGACTGGTCCAGCCCTCGACATTCAACCCTGGTCAACACACTTACCGTAAACGCCCGGATAGAAGACCCAGGCGAATAGAAGACCCTAGGGTCTATTATCCATATGCTTTCTTATCAATTGGTACTCTGTTTATAAGACATTGATATTGTATATGTATGATATAAGACCTTCCCAGGGTCGTGTATTTGGAATTTGTTGCTGCAATGTGTTAAATTATATATATTTTATATATAATTGTTGGCTTGGTAGTTGTGCTACTTACTGAATCCTACTGTAGAGAGGACTATCCCCCTCCTTGTATCTCCTTCTCTTCTATTCCAAATCTCTCTCTTCTCTCGACATATTCTCTCCTTCCTAAACCTCTCGTCATTCCATGGCTTCCCTAGCTACCTAATTACTTTAACATGGTATTAGAGCAGGTTCAACCTGCTGGACCTTCTTCCCACGCTTCGGCCGCACACTCTTCCTCTCTCTCTCTCTCTCTCTCGCTGCCATTCCGGCCGCGTCATGCTGCTGTGGCGGCGTCGTCGTGGTGCCGGCCGCGTTGTGCTGCCGCGACGGTCTCCACGCTGCTGCCGTGGCACCCTCGTCGCGCTGTCGTGGCGTTGACGTCCAGCCGTGGCGGTGTCGTCGTGCTGTCGCGGCGGCGTCGACGCACCAGATCACGATCGGCAGCGGCAGCGCCGGGCTAGCCATGGCGTCGCGCTGACGATCCAACCCCCACCCCTTCCCCCTTCCCCTCCTCTGTCTTTCCCTTCCTCTCCGCCGCAGCTGCTGGCGACCTCGTGCCGTCCTCCCCCTCGTCGTCTCAGGTTGAGCCACACCGCCATTGCCTCAGGTGCCGCACCCGTCGTCGCCAGGTGCCTCGACGCCGCCGCCGCCGCTGCGACCCGCCGTCGACGTCGCCACCTTGATAGCCGAGGGGTCGACCGACTGGTCGACGCCACTGCTGCTGCAGGGAATGGGGTTGCAAGGACGTGGAGGTGCTAGGGGTGGGATGGGCTTGCCACTACCAAGCCTAGGGGGTGTGTTAAATTATATATTTTTATATATAATTGTAGGCTTGGTAGTTGTGCTACTAAGAGCGTGTTCCTACCAGCCTCTTCCCAAGCAACCTCTTCCCAGACTCGCGTGCTACAGTGTCGCAAAATTTGACGCAAAATGTTTTAGTGCGATTCCGCGAAGTGCGAAGTGAGATTTGGCTTCCCGAGATTCAGGGGTGTGTTTTAAACCTCTTTTCATACGAGCAGATTTTCAGACAAGCACAAATCTCCACAGTTAATTTTCAACGCCAGCTGGTTTTATGAGGTTGAGAGCGATGGAACGCAAATATGAAACGGGAGTATTCCGAAAAGTGGTCCTGGGAACACGCTCTCAAGGTCGTGCGTGCGTCTGGGAAGAGGTTGCTTGGGAAGAGGCTCGTAGGAACACGCTCTTACTGAATCCTACTGTAGAGGAGACTATCCCCCTTCTTGTATCTCCTTCTCTTCTATTCCAAATCTCTCTCTTCTCTCGGCATTTTCTCTCCTTCCTAAATCTCTCGCCATTCCATGGATTCCCTAGCTACCTAGTTACTTAAACACAATGCTACTGCCGCTGGCCAAGAATGGTCCACAATTCGCCGCCTGAAATTGCTTAGGCAGCAATTTTCTCGCAAGCGCACCATGCCGTAATGATTGCGGCCGAATCGCAACATTCCTGTTGGCCCACAACTCGATATGAACGTGAGACAGTAATAAGACGTTATACATGCATTTTTTCGTAAACTTAAATGAGTTCCGTTTATAAGTTCCGTCTATAAACCTCCAAATTCTTAGGGGGTATTGGACAAGACCCATGGGTCTTCTATCCCGACGAATACTGTATATATTCCCTAGGCCCTTATTTGTATCGACACTCAGTAATCACGTTCCCCTTATTGAATACTGCGCTATTCTCTGAGTTATAATCTATAACAGCTGGTATCAGAGCTATGTTCCTGCCCATTAGGCTTCCGGTAGGGGAGCAGACCCTATCAGAGAAGGGTGCGGAAGGATGCTGATGACGAGCGGACGACGCGGAGATTAATTACGCTGTCATTGGATGTCGTCGGATCTTGTCGGATGGACGGTTGGGATTAGCCGGTCCTCCCCTTCCCCGGTCGTGGTCGTGATGTCAGATCACTACCTCAGCCACTATGTAAGGGGGTGAAGAAAAAAACCGATCCATTCCTGACTGGGTTTTGCTGTGTGAACTGGGCATAGGTGAGGCCCACAATCACGTGAACGTCGGCGCACCATCAGTTGCTACCACTCACTGTCATGCTGGTGGCTCTGCTGTTCGCTGGAGAAGAGAGCGAGAGGGGGGAAGGCAGGCAGGAGGGGGGGAGGGTGACGTATAAGTACTGGGATCACCCTCGAGTTGTAGGAGCACCACCAGTTGCTGCCGCTGTCATGGTGGCTGTGACATTCGCAGGGGAGACGAGGGGGGGGGAAGGGGGGTGGGGAGGTAAGGCAGAAGTACTGGGATCACCCCAGGGATGTCTATGCATGTTGGTGGCTGTGACGTTTGCTGGAGAGATGGGAGGGGAAGTAAGGACGAGGTAGAATGGCCAAGTTATTAGGACTGTAGTCAACCTAGGCACTTTGGGACGAGCAGACGATTCCCAAGCGAAGGCGGCGGAGGAAGCAGCACCCAAGCAACAGATGGGGAAAGAGCCGCATTTGACCATGCCCGGGTGGCATTTGGGGAAGGAGAAGCAATCGACCATACCTGGGTCACAGGTGGGGAAGTCATCGATGGTTTTGCTGGGGCGTGGTTGGGAGGGCAGATGCAGGAGTAGGAGCCCTTGCCATCATTGATGCATGTGCCCACGGAGCAGGGGTTCTTGAAGTACGACCCACACACATCCACTGCCACAATGGCAAAGGGAAGGATGGGCACGAGAGGGACGGGTTATGGAAGCCAAAGGGCATTGGCCATACATGTTAAAATGTGACGTACTAGATGTATCTGACAGAAATTCGTTTGGTCAATCATTGCATGCTACATGAAATTCGTTTTGACATTCGTTTGTTTGTTTCATTGCTATAAGCCTGCCCATCATTATCAGGTTTAGGGATAAAAACATGTCTTACCATAGGACATGTCTCACCATAGGCGCACGTCTCACCATAGGCACATGTCTCACCATAGGCGCATGTCTCACCGTAGGCGCATGTCTTGGAGCCAAAACCATTGGAAACCTCCACAAAGGGTTGCACGGCCACTTTGTGGATTGCGCAGCTGCACGAGTTGTTGCTGTCCTTGGGGACGGGCTTGCATGGGAACCAGCCCCACGGGTTCATGCTGGGCTGGAAATCACCGTCCGCCTTGAAACTCTTGCTGCCACATGGGTCCCTGGGAACTGGAGGGGAAGGAAAAGGGATGGATTTCGTGGTGGAACGGTGGTGGTTGCATGCCTCACTCTTGACAGTGGGGTAGATGCCTCACTGTTGACAATGGGGTAGATAGATGCCTCACTCTTGACAATGGGGTAGATGCCAGGCAGCACGTTGATGCCACACACGCCATCCCCTCCCTGAATGTCCATGCGCATGTGGCCCCTGTCGCCCCACTCCACTCCCCACGAGTTGCGGATGATCCAAAACGGAGGAGGCACTTGCTGCTGCACACTATCCCCTACACCAACCGAGTAGCCAATAACGAGTACAACGTGGTTCAGCTCGCCAGAGTAGCAGCTAGGATCTTGATACTTGTATTTCTGCCAGAGAATACAGAAAGCGCAAGCAGTAAAACAACGGGGGAAGGTGATTGAGAAAGTTGTGATCATACCAGCAAGACAACTGCAGTTGCGAAGGAACAGCAAGGTGCATTATCCCTCTAGTTAGTTCAATTGCTTGCTAACCCCCTCTGCTACTACCCCTGCTCCTGCCCCTGCTCCTGCTCCAGCTCTTGCTCGTGCTCCACTTGCCTCCAACACTCCTTCGCTGGGATTCTTGCCGACTGGCATGTGGCCAACGCCAGATCAACCCGTCGACTATCCACTGTCTATTCTCTATTCTCATACGTGTTTGTGCTGCACCTTCAAGCTTCCCTATACTACCCTGACATAGTTAAAGCGTGAGTGTGTATGACTGATACGCACCCCATCGGAAGTGGCGAACGTGGGAGCCGAAGCCTCGATGTGAACCACCACTGGCTGCCGCTGCACTGCCAGCATGAGCCCCACATACCCCTTGAACCACGTGCGCTCAAAGCCGTGCAATGGATAGTATGTGGCCTGGACGGGTGGATAAGGACAAAATATGCTAAGTCAAGTGGGCTAAGATATATGGAAACGAAGAGTGGGAAATCAACCGCCAGGAAGAGTGAAAAAAAAAAAAAAAAAAAAAAAAAAAAAAAAAAAAAAAAACAACAACAACAACAACAACAACAACTCAGCTCGTTTAACCTTCCACGGGTTCGCAGACCTAGACACATGCCACACAAACACCCCTTTGCGCATGCTTCCAGCCACGAATGCGACACACTTACTGTGGCAGTTAAAGTAAGACCACCGCGAGGCAGAGCAAGAAGCCTTTCAAAGGCCTCTGTTGGGGAGCCCCCCGTGGTGCACTGATCTGCTTCCGTGGTGAGCCCCATGGCTACAAAGAGTGAGGCCACTGACAACTGTGGCACGCCTTTGTTCGTTGCGATGCCGTATGCTGCCTCTGCGCTCGCCACCACTGCGAATGCCCAGCAAGCGTCTGAGAAGCAGATGGGACAGCACAGCACGCACAGGACACAGTGAAACAATTAGAGAGGATGTTGTTTTATGCCTATACAGAAAGATGTGAATGTGAGAATGAACACAAGCAAACCCGCCCTTTCCCTACTAAACCCTCATGGCAAAACTTACGTCCTGATTCTCCTTACCTTGCTCCCTGAGTTTCTCTTTCCTTACCTAGCTCCATTCTCTTCTCCCACTATCACCCTCGCTCCCTCCTTGCCCCTCCCCTCCACTCTCGCCCTCCCCCACCCCCCCAACCCACTGCAGGCTTGCTGGTCCTTGACACGCCAAGCCCACCCCACACCTCCCTCCCCCTGTCCCCCTCTGCTGGCACTCACTGCATGCCTGCTGGTGCTTGCCTCCCTCCCTCCCCCGCACCATCCCTCCCCTTGACCCCTCCAGAGGCACTCACTGCAGGCCTGCTGGTCCTTGACAGCCCAGGCGAGCCAGGGCGCATCCCAGGAGGAGGGGTCGCGCATGAGCCACGCGTCCTGCTGCCCCGACTGGGTCATCGTGTACGCCGCACTCACGTACCGCGTGAACGGACTCGCTCTAGTGGGCCAGAACGAGGATGGTGACAGTGCGAGGCCCACGGCTGACTCCAAGTGGGGGCGGGGAGGGTGACGGGGGAGGGGGAGAGGGGAGGAGGAGAGGGGAGAAGGAGAGGGGAGTGCAGTCAGCTTTGAGAGACTGACTTTGAGGCTGCATACTTAGAACCTGAGCTCTTCATCGACAACATCAAAATATCAATAACAGGAAGCTTGGTGCACCGAGGTACCTCGAATGACAGGTACTGTCCTGGATTGTGTGGGAAATGAGAATCCTGTTGACACAGCAGTGCAGAACAATGGAGTGAAGAAGGGAAACATCCGGAAAAGAATTACCAGATGGCTCCACTTTTGATTTCCTCGGCCCCGCTGGCACAGCAAGAGTGATGTTACGTGTAATTTCAGCTCCTCCAGATGGCAAACGAGTCAGAGAAATGGCAATTAAACACTACATTACACTACACTACATTACGTTGAAAGCTCTGGCGTGAAGGAGAAAAGTTGCAAAAAAACTGTTCGGCTCACCTGTTTCGATGAACGACACCAGGATAGCATGTTGCTGGAAAGGCGCAACTGAAGACGCCACGAACCCAAAGTAGAAGGCCACATCAGTGGGCGTTGGCTGCAGTACCTCACACAGCACAGAGGGCTCTCCAGCAAAGGAGTCTTGGGCTTTTCTGCATCCGCGGCCACAAACACCTTGATGGTTCCTGGGCTTCCAGGTTTATAGTCAATCTAGCTGTGTATGCCCTTTGGTTGTTGAGCGGAAAGGGGGAACGGACGGCCTTGGTTGAAGTGGCGCTGCCCCCGACGTTGAGCCCCACGTGGTCCCCTGGCATGTCCCCGTGCGCTGCATCTGAGAACGTGCAAACTCCACACCCATGCTCTGCGCATCCATGCCAGAGTACCCCACTCTCCCCCCCACCCCCCCAGTGCCCGCTGCATTCGTCACAGAGACCACAAACGCCAGCCCGTTGGCCCCCCCGTCTCCCCCCAAACCAACAGGGAACATAAAGAAGGTGAATTCTGCTCGAAATTGCAGCTCTGTGCCGCATCCTCCTGTGATTGTTTTGTACGTGAAGAGGGGGAGTGGGTCTGCAGTGAACGCCCCTGCTGTGGCTGCTGCTGCGCCCTTGGTCAGAATGGTCGGCTGCTCCACCAGCTCCCTCCTCCTCACAGACCCTGCAAGCAAGAGTTGCCAGCAGATTGATGGTCAGTAAGCACGGGGAATGGGGTTGGCAGTCAGGCAGCAGCAGAGTCGACAGCTCAATGCATGTGCTTCCCCCCCCTGCTGCTGCTGTTGTGGAGAAGCAATTTGCAGCGAGCCTTAGATTGGCTGACGCGCACTCGGCTGCTTGCAAGTCTCTTGTGAGGTAGTTGCTGTTGTAGTCATGACACGACCATGTGGGCATGAGAGTGCGATCCAGAATAGGCCCTGTGAGGTAGTTGCAAGAGACGTCCCTGAGGGGGAGAGAGAGGGGGGAAGGGGGGGATGGGAAGGGGGTGGGGTGGGTAGAGAGGGAGAGAGGGACGGGATTTGAAGCAACAATTTCCGGTGAAAGAGTTGAAGATTGGGATGATAGGCATGCAGAACAATTATAGGTGAGACGGTGAACGCAGCACAGCTAGCGCTGATGTGATGTGACGACGCACAGGCAGTGGAAAGCAGAGAGGCGAACCGTAGAGAAGGACACACAGACTCGAGAGAAGCATGCAACCTCAAAAATCATGCACGCATGGAGAGACTCACTCACAGCCAGGTAAGGCCGGTCAATTTTGAAAGAGCCTCTGGCATGGAGCCATAGAGCTGGTTGGATGCTAGGAATCTGAGGTGGGGAATAGGGCACAGGATGGGTGGGACATGGGGATGGGCACACACAGAATGGGCCATGGGGCCACAAGGGAGAGGAATCGAAAGTCGAAAAGAACCTGTAATCAGGCTGATTCACTTCTGGTTGGGTAAACCTCCCTCAAACGAAAACCTGGTGCTAGAGGGAAATATATGCAATCAGCGAGATAAAACATGCCTACGATGTCATGACACGACTCTTGAGGCACCTCAAAGATCGTCTCACTCACTATTACAATGCATTCATGCCCACAATGTCTCTAGATCTGCGATGCTCAGACCAGCAGGAATGGTCCTTGTCAGTCTGTTGTTCACCAAGTTTATACAGCAACCAGATACGGAGGGAGGAAGGGAAGGCACTTTGATAAAATTGGCAGATACGTTTGCTCTTCACAAGAGCACGACAACATGCAAGAAATACAAAGGCATCTGCCCATCCATCCTCTCCTTCAGAAGAAGAAGAAACAGGAAACGTCTTAAGAAATAAGGGGAGACAATACACTCACACGATGTTTGGAAAATGGCTCCTGACAATGGGGTGAGGTGGGGATGTGGCCCGTGAGTGCGTTGTTCGACAGGTCCCTTCAACGCATGTGGTGGAGAGGCAAGCAAGGCAAGAGAGGCAAGCGAGGCAAGAGAGGCATGAGAGGCAAGAGAGGCAAGCGAGGCAAGAGAGGCAAGAGAGGCAAGAGAGGCAAGAGAGGCAACAGAGGCAACAAAGGCAAGAGAGGCAAGCGAGGCAAGAGAGGCACAAGGGACAAGAGAGGCAAGAGAGACAAGACAGGCAAGAGAGACAAGAGAGGCAACAGAGGCAAGCGAGACAAGAGAGGCAAGACGGGTGATTCGTGAAAGCTCGTACAGGTACGTGAGGAAGCCCATGGTGGGCACTGTTTCAGACAGGGGCCCCGTCAAGATGTTGCTTGAGATGTCTGTGCACGCCCGGGAAAGGGTGCGAGGCGGATGGGGGGAAAGGGCGAGGGAAGATAGGAACGCCAAAACCCTGGGAACACGGAACACGGAACACGGAACATGGAACACGGGACACGGGACACGGGACACAGGACACGGGAACACGGAACAGAGGGACTGCAGCAGTGAGAGGGAACGAGATGGCCACGAGGGATGACGACACGAGCAGGAGCTTCAGCATCATCAACTTCATGCGGCTACTGCTACTGCTAGTACAGCTAGTACTGGCGCTACTACGCGTACTTGCATGCTGGCTTTCTAACAAATCCTTTTCCTTAAAACATGACATGACAGCGCCGGCCAGTGGCGTCGGAGAGGGTGCATCACAACCGCGGGCACTGGGGCTGGCGCTAGCGCTGCTGGCAATGGCAATGGCAATGGCACGGGCACTGGCAATGGCGCTGGCACTGGCAGCGGCCTGGCAGTCACTGGAGAGATTCTGGCTGCATGGGACGCGTTGGCCCGGAACATCTGAAGAATCATGCAAGTTGTGTTACTACATATGATCTGCAATTATAACTTACAATGATAGAACACTCCTAATTAGAACTAGGAGTAGGTCTGAATCTCAAGGGAAACTTGGAGCTGGTAGGGAAATAGTCAAGGTTTGGCTAAGTCCTTAAGTGCAGAAATAGCAGTTGGAGGGCTTAGAGTAGGAGGAGGATCCTTCTTCCAATATTGAGTTATTGGGGAAGGAAAGTGAAGAATGAGCTCCAAGAGCCCTCTCACTTCCTAGACCCCTTGGGGTGCAACCACCTCCTCCATGGCCAAGGGGGTGATGCACCAATTGTGGACCCAACCAAGGAATTTGTAGTGAGGTAGAATCAGTTTGCTGAGGTGTGCAAACTTATCTTGGGTTGCTAAATGTGCATTGGTTGGAATTGCAGCCAATAGGAATCATTGCTGCCCAACCCAAATCCAACCTGTCACTTGGTGGTCGAGTGGTAACCACCACTCCAACCCTATCACCCAAATCTATCTTCCCAACCTTCAATCCCAAACCTATCCAACCCAACCCAACATTCCAATTATGTTCCCGTAACTTCGCGCGCAAGGGGAAACCATGAATGTCCAGATTAGTCGCGATAGTTAGACTAGGATGGGCGAGTCGTAGGGCGACATGTTACACTCCTCCCCCTCCAGCTGGCAACGTTCTCCATGCCATGGAGTGCTTGTGGGGACGAATGGAACGAGCACAACGAGTCACGCTATGACCAGGGTCAACACCATCCACTGGTTGTAGGACCTCGCGCTAAGCCAGGCCTTCCATATAAAATTGAACAGCTGTTTCAGTCAAATGCTCTTATGGCTCCCACGAATTGTGTTCAGGCCCATAGCCTTTCCACTTAATAAGGAACTCTCATACTGTCTTGCGGCCGCGCTGTCGATCGCGATGCATGAGCACTCGTTCGACCTCATAATAGAGTTCCTCCCCCAGGACGATTGTTGGTGGCGGCAAGTACTTGCCCTCTGCAATGTACTTGCTAAGCAGAGACACGTGGAAGACATTGTGAATCCGCAATGTATCAGGCGGCTTAAGTTTGTAAGCTACGGCACCAACTCGCTTGATCACCTCAAAAGGCCCAATCCAATAAGGGAACAGCTTTCGTGCACCAGGGATCTTAAGACGAATGTTTTTTGTAGCACTTTGTCTCCCACCTCATAGGTGATCTCTCGGCGTTTCATGTCAGCAAAGGAATTCTGCCATTGCTGGGCAAGCTCGAGCCAGTGACGAGCCGACTTCAACGCCTCTTATTGCCGAGCAACAAAGTCCTTTGCGGCATGTATCCTCAACCCACCGATCCCGTGCATTGCAGGTATTGTGGGATGCCAATCACAGTTCAGGATGAATGGTTTCTCTCACGTGCTATCATGCACCGAGTTGTTGACTGCGAACTCAACTAAGGGCAGCAACTCATCCCAATCATCCTCCATTGGGCTTATAAACGAACGAAGCATCTGCTCCAGGGTGCGATTTGTCCGTTCTGTTTGTCCATCTGTTTGTGGATGGAAGGCAGACGACATCTTGTCCCGAGTGTCCAAGTCACCTCCACCCAGAACCGGCTTGTGAAGCGGGGATCTCGGTCGGACACTAACACACGAGGTAGTCCGTGCAAGCGGTAAACGTGCGACACAAACATTTTAGCCGTATCTTCCGTCGACACGTCCGTTGTTGTGGGCACGCAGTGCACCATCTTGGGAGGGTCAGTGATGAAATATAATGACACGCTTTCCCAAGGCTCATCAGGGATTTCGAGCGGTTGAAGCAGACAGCCAGGCTTTTGTGTGTCCGATTTGTTTCTTGCGCACGCATCGCAATGCGCGACAAACTGCTGGACATCTTTGCCCACCTTTGGCCACCAGTATACGTCACACAGTGTCTACCGGGTTTTGTTCATTCCTAGGTGACCAATATAACGAGTGACATGCACTTCGGTCAAAATGTCATTCCGCAGGTGTGGTACCACGATCTCTTTGTCATGCCACCAGAGCTCATGCTCCCAAACGAGAGCCTTCATGTTCTGTGGGTTCTGAAACCAGGAATCGATATGATAACCTGCATGGATTCGTTTCAGAAAACCACTGAAGGTAATCTCGCTCACTTTCGCCACAGCGAGGACATTGAAACAGGCTGCAAAAACAGTCGCATGTTCAATGTCACTTAGCCCCGTTGCTTCCCCAATCGGCGGCGGAGGGGGTCAGCCAGGTTCGTGGCAGCTGCACGATAACGAATCTCGAAGGTGAACCCGCTGAGGAGTTCAGCCCAATGAGCTTGGCGTCAAGTGAGTGTGGCTTGCGTAGAGAAATAGGTGTTAGGACAGTGGTCCGTTGTGACCACAAAGTCCACACCTTCTAGGTAGCACCGCCATGTTCGAAGCGCGTGGACCACATCAAGCAGTTCTTGCTCAGTTATGGTATAGCGCTGTTCCGTTGGGGAGAGCTTTTGACTCTCAAATGCCATAGGGCGTCCTTCTTGTAAGAGCACTGCTCCAATACCCACTGTCGAAGCATCAGTGACCACTTCGTACTGCTTGTCTGGGTCTGGCAGGACCAGTATAGGAGTGCTCGTAAATCGTCGCTTAACTTTCTCAAAGGCCTGTTGGCACTCGGAGGTCCACTCCCATGCCCAAGCTTTTTGAGTTAGTGCCATGAGTGGCACGACGATAGTAGAGTAGTTTTCCAAGAAGCGACGGAAATAATTTGCAAGTCCAAGGAATGATCGGACCTGTCCCACGTCTAAAGGAACAGGCCACTCCTGGACCGCACTCACCTTCTTGGGATCAACCCTGAGTCCATTTTTGCCAACAATGTGACCAAGGTACTCGAGCTCGCGCTTATAGAAATGGCATTTCCAAAGCTGTGCAAAGAACTTGTGCTCTCGGAGCTTCCCCAACACCCATTTTAGGTGTTGAGTATGCTCAGCTTCGGTTTTTGAGTATACTAGGATATCATCAAGGTATACCAACACGAATTGACTGAGTGCCTCACGGAACACGTCATTCATTGCTCGCTGAAAGGATGCAGGAGCATTGGTCAACCCAAAGCTTAGCACACACCATTGAAAATGGCCAAAAGGCGTCCGGAATGCCATTTTTGGCAGGTCTTCGTTTGTTATACACAGCTGGTGATAACCTTGAGCAAGGTCCAATACGCTAAACCATTGTGCCCCTTGCAGAAGATCAAATAGATCTTCAATCCGAGGACGGATATCTATTCTTGATCGTAATCTTGTTGAATGCTTGGTAGTCAACGCACATGCGTAGGCCACCTCCTTTCTTATGAACGAACAAGATTGGAGCACCATAGGGAGATGCGCTCGGTTCAATCCATCCCTTATCGAGGTAATCCTTGATTTGCAGTTTAGCCTCCTCGTACTCAGCTGGACTGAGGCGATACAGAGGTCTAAATGGTGGAGCCTTCCCTGGTTCCACTGGAATGGTGTGTCCGACTGTGCGATCTGGAGGTAGGCCTTCAGGAATAGGCTCAAATACCTCATTGTACTCTTCCGCCAACGCTTTCATTTGAGGAGGAAAATCCTCAATGACTTGCGAAAGAGCACCATCGGGATCAATTTGGATAATGAACATAGTCTCTGCCTCTTTCACATATCCTTTGAATTGGTTGGCTAACACAAAGCTCACATCAGAGACGTTTGCGTCTGGACCCTCACTTCTTGTATCATGTGCAGAAACCTTCCATTCCACATTCTCGTCACCGTTCGTGAACGATAGAGTGTTGTCCTGAAAGTTCAAGATAACTTCATTGGGCCGCAACCAATCCATTCCGAGGACAAGGTCCACCCCTGCTAGCAAAGGTAAGGTGATACCCGAATAGTTTCGTGGTACTCTGACACCTCTAGGTTGATTGCTGCATATCCCCGACTTGGGATAACGCGATCATCGCCCAATCGAATTGGGCAGGATGGTCCCTCGATTTGGTCCACCCATTTCTCGTCAATAAGTGAGGCCGTTGCCACAGTATCGACAAGAATCTTGGCAATCTTTCCATAGATGCGACTGGCAAACAACAATTTTTTTCGTGCTTGGGTCATATCGGGCAAGCCACAACATTTGTTGGAGGCAAATAATATGCCCGGACCTTGTGCTTGCTGCGTCCGTATGCGTGGGCGTTTGACCACCATACATGGTGTCCTTTTTGCCATTCGGCATTGACAGTCCATCCTTTAAGCATGTGAGAACTACTGCCATTTGGAGGGCGAGTCACCAATCCAACTGCAGTTAGAGGGTGCTTCTTGGTGCAACGACCCACAACTTCCATAATCGAAGGCAGTGATTCCAAATTGCAACAAATAACTGAAAAGTTATCTCTTAAAGCTTCTGTTGTTACTTCCTCTAGTGGGTGCAATCGAGAGGCAAACAAAGAAGATTCACTCAAAGAAGGTGCAAACACACAAGAAGTTTTGCCACTAGCAAGTTTCTCAAGCCTTAGCAAATCCTCATCACGCAAGGCAATAATTTCACCCCCTCGATCTACCAAGCCAGCTAGGTACCCACACCCTAGTTGGTCTTCTGAAAACCCTGGCGCTGGCCGGAAGGGCCGGCCTCGTTAATCTTGAGACCACCCTTCCCCTTAGTAGCACCCTTTCCTGCCTCATTCTGAAGGCAAACATTTACGAAGTGGCTAGGCTCGCCACAACTAAAGTAACGCTTAGGTCCCTCCCCCTTGTCAGCGGGACCCTTAGGGCCCCCACCATTGGGATTCTTGAACTGGTGCCCATTCTGATTTCCCTGCTTGGGTTAGGGCCTCTTGTTATTGCCATTATTCCACCTCTGGGGTTGCTGCCTTCCCCCTGAGCCGCCAGGCCCAGGAGGAGGCCTGCACGCCTCCGGGGGCTGGTTAACCTTTGCGTAAGCGCGGAAATGCACATCCGTGTTCGCAACACCTTTCTTCAACTCCCCATAGCTCTGCCACTGTTCGCCCTTGCCATCCATCATGTGCAAGCTCTGGATGTGCGCCGGCAAGCCCTTAAACAACAAGAAGACCTTCTCACTCTCAATGAGCTGATCATCCGTCTTCAGCAGCAGCATGGCTTCCTCGAACTCATTCGCATACTGCACGGGGCGGTTTCCGCACCTAAGAGCCTCAAGGCGACCGCGCACTTCCAGAAGCGTTGGCTGCACCTGGAAGGCCTGCCTGAGGGCAGCAGCAAATTCAGCCCAGCCAAAAGGCTCGCCATTTGCCAACGCCTGCCTCTTGTGGCCATACGCCAATTTGCGTGCCGTCTCATCCAAAGCAGTGGTGGTGCAACGACGCGAGCTTTGTCACGTACGTTATGAACAGACAAGAACTCATCCGCCAAGGTAAGCCACGCTTCCACATCCATTTTTCTATAGACAAACTGAGGCAGGGTCATGGGGAACATGCCAAGCGCCGAAGAGGGCTGCCCGTTAGTAGCAGCAGCTGCAGGTGCCTCTGAAGGGCGTTCTTGCTCGGAACTAGCACCAGCAGATGCCTCAGCTGCCTGTTCAGGATGGTACATGGTACCCCCCCTCAGCTGCTTGATGAGGTTCTGCATCTCAGCAATAGCTGCTGAGTGCTTAGCCAAGTTCTTGATATTATCCCGAGCATCATGACATGCCAGGTTTAGATCCGTCATCAGGTTGTGGATCTTGCTGTCTTGCGTTGACAGCTTGCTCCTCAACTGGTCAATAAGGACCTGTTGCTTGATCAAGGTGATATTCTGGTTGGAGAGGTAAGCCTGCATCTGTTTGACTTCCTCAAACAGCAACTCCTCCTCTCCCCCTAGGTCCAAGTCTTCCTCCTCTTCGTGAGAAGAAACCGTGGCACCATTACTCCCATTAACAGGAGCAGATTGATCAGCCATCACCTCATCAACATTAAGGTCAATGCCAGTAGCAGCATTCTCCACCTCATCAAGGTTAACAGCATCACCACTAGTGGCATTGTTGGTAGAAGCCATTGCTGAAGAGCAAAGAGAATAATGCCCACGTATAAAGGGGAGATGAACAGATCTATAATCACCACTGTGATAAGCCAAGAAATTCTTAACAAGTTAAGAAATTTATGCAATAGATCTGAAGATGACAAATGTCAATCTCCCAAGAGGGACAGATCTGTTGAAAATGCTTTTACCACCACTGTGGATAAAGCCAATCAGTCGCAAATTCCCCAACTGGAAATTGTGAACGATTTTCAACAATCTCTTTCACCAAAAGGTGAGAAACAGCAAGATCTTTCCAGATCTTCCACACAACCGTTATTCCCTCTGGAATAAGGCTAAGTCTCAACGAGTCTTCACTTGATGCTTGAAGGCGGAAACACTTCCGCCTTGAAACTTCACGCAAGTAGTCCTAAAGAGTCACCAGCAACACTGGCCTCAATGACTACTCACTACCAGAAGCTACACAAGCAACAAGTCTAGAAAAAAAAAAAGGTTGCCCAGAAAGGCAAGATGAAACTAGCTCTAAAACCAAATATAACATCCACCAGTTTATAGCAACATCGGTTTATAAATAGCGGAACTTACAATGATAGAACACTCCTAATTAGAACTAGGAGTAGGTCTGAATCTCAAGGGAAACTTGGAGCTGGTAGGAAAATAGCCACGGTTTGGCTAGGTCCTTAAGTGTAGAGATAGCAGTTGGAGGGCTTAGAGTAGGAGGAGGCTCCTTCTTCCAATATTGAGTTATTGGGGAAGGAAAGTGAAGAATGAGCTCCAAGAGCCCTCTCACTTCCTAGACCTCTTGGGATGCAACCACCTCCTCCATGGCCAAGGGGGTGGTGCACCAATTGTGGGCCTTGCCCATGTGGCATGGGTTGGGTTTTCCCGACCAAGGAATTTATAGTGAGCTAGAATCAGTTTGCTGAGGTGTGCAAACTTGATTACAGCCAATAGGAACAATTGCTGCCCAACCCAAATCCAACCTGTCACTTGGTGGTCGAGTGGTAACCACCACTCCAACCCTATCACCCAAACCTATCTTCCCAACCTTCAATCCCAAACCTATCCAACCCAACCCAACATTCCAATTATGTTCCCGTAACTTCGCGCGCAAGGGGAAACCATGAATGTCCAGATTATTCGCGATAGTTAGACTAGGAGGGGCGAGTCATAAGGCGACATGTTACAAGAAGTCTACACGCGCGTGACACCTTGCATGACACCGGCTCAGGCAGGTGTACCTAGAGCAGGTGTAAAATGAGACGGTTAACTGTTGAAGAGCCTTAGCAGTCACCTGATCCTGACCCCCCAGTATGTGAGAAAGCAGGAAAGGGTAAATCAGGTGATGATTCGGCAGGAAGGTCCAAGTAAGACCCGGCATCCCGTCCTGCGGAGGCCACGAACGGAACGGAGGCGAGCTTGCTGTACCGGATGCAGTGCTACGACTAGTTAGTGCAAAGTTCCCTTCTCCTGAAGGCTTGTCAACCGAATGCTCAGGCAGCGGAATGCTTTTGATGTCTGACAGATATGGAGAGTGTAATAAAGGAACCACTACGGGAGAGATTCCCTTCGGATAACCTTGTGATCCCTGATCGACTGAGCTCGTCAATGCATTAATAAATAAATGGTTTCTTCACTGCTTGTCCGGGGTTGGGGTGAGTCCAACGCAAAAGAGGTAAATCCTAAGCGGAAGCACCACCTGTAAGCGGGCAAGCCGGAGCTGGAGGAGTTTCCTGCATTGCTGTGGGGAGTTGTTTCGATTGTTTCCGCCATTGAATTTGCTCCCACTGCTTGGCTGAGCATTCCCGCTACAACTGTTCTCGTTTACATGCGATTATGATGCATACTGCTATAAAACTTCTCAAAATGGGTGAATCTATTTATTGTTTACACACACTTCCAATGCCAATAGGTATAAAGCATCAAATGGAAATGGAGCTTGCATGTGTAGAGAGACAAAATTTAGTAACTTAATTTGCCAAGAATTCATTGGCACAATACACATGTGTAGGACAGGGAGGAAAGGTAGGAAATTCATGTGAAACCGGGGAAACG